GGGACAGGATCTTGAAGCCTGTTTCACTCCCCCAGGCTGTTTAACAGTGGCAGGCAGGCATGCATGACCAGGGAAACCAGTTTTGCTGGATCGCCTCGAGACATCCACCTAGCTGGATCCAATTTGTCTGAGTTATTAGTTCAGATCACAAAATGGACAGGCAGCCCTGGCTTTCAGTGCACTCATTACTGGATGGTAAAAGCTCACTGTAGCATCTGACAGAGGTACAGTGCCTATAGAAAGTATTCACCCCCTTGGATATTTTACCCTTTTATTGATTTTATAACTCAATCATGGTCAATATAATTTGGCTTTTCTGACAAAATAAATTACAAAATAAATAAATAAACTAATGTCAAAGTGAAAACAAGTTTCTACAAAGTAATGTCAATTAATTAAAGATATGTAATGGGAAATAAGTGATTACATTTAGTAGATGCACCTTTGGCAGCAGTCACAGCACTGAGTCTGTGTGGATAGGTCTCAATCAGGTTGACTGGTGAAGAACCCGGGAACAGTTGCTATGTGCAGAGTCTCTCCCATCTCAGCTGCTGAAGCTTGTAACTTCAGAGTAATCATAGGTGTCTTGGTGACCTCTCTCACTAGTCTCCTTCTCACATGGTCACTCAGTTTGTGAGGACGGCCTAATCTAGGCAGATTTAGACATGTGCCATATTCCTTCCATTTCTTGATGATGGATTTAACTGAACTCCAGGGGATGTTCAGTGCCTTGGAAATATTTTTGTATCCATCCCCTGACTTATATTTTTCAATAACCTTTTCTCTGAGTCGCTCAGTATGTTCTTTTGTCTTCATGGTGTAATGGTAGCCAGGAATACTGATTAACCAGTGACTGGACCTACCAGCCACAGGTGTCTTTATATTACAATTACCTGAGACACATTCACTGCACTCAGGTGATCCCCATTTCACTAATTGTGAGACTACTAGCACCAATTGGCTGGACCTCTGTTGAATTAGGTCAGTCATTTTAAAGGGGGTGAATATTTATGCAATCACTTATTTCCCATTATATATTATTTAACTGACATTACTTTGTAGAAACCTGTTTTCACTTTGACATTAAAGAGGTTGCATATTTGCTTTGGCAAAACGTATGAATGCATTTTATGTGGGGTGACTGTGGATTAAAACCAGTAAACCAACTGAACATTTATTTATTAGGTCAAAGGGAACAGTCTCATAAATTATACCACAGATAGATGCTGTGTTGAAAAACACGAAGAGCGCTCACGCTAATAGAAATTAGAATTTAAGAAACACACACATAAATAGCTTATATGACCCACATTTGCCGGAGTGTTTGGAATGGTGATTTTTTTTTAAATTTTATTTTAAAATCACTGGCTTTTCAAGTACACCTGCGTAGCATATGTGATGTTTCAGTGTTGTTAGCCTTGTCTAACATGATAATGCATCTTCTGTGATTTCTATTCCAGTGCCACGCAGCATCTAAACTACTCCCATTGTGGAGTAGAGACACACGTGTCTGAGTCAGCCTCAGAGTTTCCACATTTGACCAGAAAGGGTGGAGTTTTTTCTCTCCCCACTTAATTACTGCCTGGGTCTGGGTTGAGGGCAAAGGGCATCCATGTGCAGGTAGCAGTTAGGGATCATACTTAGAAATGGTCGCTGCCACATGAGGTCCACTTTGTGGCTTTATTCTGGTAGTTATCGTCTCTTTTTTGTCTGTAAGGCTTTTTGAGCACTGAGCCACAGTGGAGACCCTCAGTCAAAAGAATTACTGCCTACCCACATGTTACGAGTGCTGGTGACACTTTGGTCATATTTTTTAATAGTATGTAACGGTACAGCACAGAAGAAACCTTAAATAAGGTTGTGATAGTGGTGTGTTTTCTGGATTTGTTGAGGTTATTTTTCACAATAAATTGATGTATGGAACTGAAAAATGATTAAACTATTTGTTTTATTGGATTCAGTATTTATTATACATGGTAGCCAGGAATACATGTGTTACACAAGAAATGGTTCCTATTACATTACCTAACATAACATCATAACTTTTGCTGTCAGTTTTTCAAAACATTGAGCTGAACACCACCATCTTTTCTTCTCCTTGAAAAACAAACTGCCAGCCCCACTCACAGGAATGGTGCTTTCTACTCTAAAAGTGGAATTGATAAACATCAGTAAGTAGTGTGAGGCGGCTGTGTGTGTCTCCAGATAGAAGGCACCCCCCATTCTTAAAGGCTACTCTCCTACCCCAGCCACTAGAGCTCCTGCCAAGGAGTCTGATACACCAGCATAAAATCCAAACACAACTCAAAAGAGCTCAGATTTCAAATACGGTGGGAGGAACCTGAAAGGCATTTTTGAGAAAGTCACAAAAACTGGAAGGATACGGTCTTTTCAACCTACTGTGGGAGTTTTTAATCAGTTGACACAGCTGTCTGTCTCAGTCCAAATCTCACTAATGGCAGATTAATGTTTTGTTCCGTGTCAGTGTGCCTTAACATCCTGTCAAAGCTGCTCTGTAATTTCATAGCTCATTTGTCTGAAAGCATGCAGAGGTAAAATTTGCGCATAAGCATATATCTACACTGTAGCACTACATACAAACTGTGCTTCAAATTTTAAAGGACAGCAGTGGAGCCAGAGTAGGCCTTATTATATAGCAGCCATTCATCTGGAAGACACACAGAGAGATGGCCTGATCTCGACAAGTCACAGCAAATGAACTGAATGCATCAGACGTTCCTGGAAACTGGTGACTGTAGAAAGAATCAGAAGTGGAAGGGGAAGGAAGGAAGTCTAAATGTGACCAGAAGAATGGCCTAAATATTTGCTAAAGGAACATGGGACAAGAAAGATAAGAGGAGCAAGGGCCAGAAATAGCCTTAGAACTAGACACAAACTGAACAGTATGAGATAAACATTTACCAACTCCCAGCAACTGCTGGCAACTAGCAGAAACTGTTCACTTATGACTACATCATATAACTACTGTCTACAGTCAACAAATGTAGGCTACCCACGCACCACATCATTCCTTTTAGTAGTACTCTGAGAGGTCAAATAACAGGCTTGGTGTGCTGAAATGACATCTAGTGGTCATACTGCATAATGACACCCGGACAGTGCACATTAATTGCTGAAAAAGCTCTTTACATATTCTGAAACCAGTGATAGCTATAAATTCAAGCTCATACTCAAACAGAAAATGAACATATCGCATCTCCTACATGGCAAACCTGCATACAGTACAATCTCAATTCATTTTCTACAGGCTAACTATTAATATATTGCATATGCACATACAGAAAGTGCTTTAAAGTATACCTAATACATTTATGAGGCCTGTTCAAAAATGAGAGCGGAAGGAGCATGGTTTTCATTTTTATGATATTTACCAGACTCCATAGTAAATTTGTAAAAGGACAAGTAATTTTAAAAAGGTGACTGGATGAAGAAAGTATCAGAAGTAGACGGGGGAGAAAGTGAGTGAGTGATTACCCTTAAGTCCTGGACACTAAAAACTAACACCTGCATCAGGAATCTTCGTGTAATCACTGATGAGGATCTAAATTTTAATGGCCACATCAAAGATGTAACAAAGCCATCATTCTGGCAACTTAAAACATACTGTAACTAAAATGAGAAGTTTTCTGTCTAAGCAGGATTGAAAAAAGCTCATTTATGCTTTTGTTTGTAGTAGGGCAGACTACTGTAACGCACTGCTGCTTGACTGCCCCAGTAAGACAATCATTCAACTGCACCTGATTCAAAATGCTGCCAAGAACACCAAGAAGAAAGAACACATTACTCCAGTCCTTAAATCTTTGCACTGGCTTCCAGTTAAATACAGAATTCAAATTAAGGCCCTACTTATTGTCTACAAGTCTTTCAATATATGTGATATTTTTGCTGAGTACAAGCCTGGTAGATGTCTCAGATCTGCAGGGACTGGTCAGCTAGTGGTGAAAGGTTAAAGGTTCCATTAGAACTTAGGTCTGCCCCAACTGTGGCAGCTTTTAAAACTAAGCTAAAGACTGTTCTTTGTTTTCCCACTGCTTTTAATTAATGTTTCATAATTCCACCCAATATTGCACTTCATCTGCTTTTATTTTTCATCCATTACTCAATGACTAACTGACGTCATTGTACTGTTTAGATGAATGTATAGACACTGATGTTTTTCTGGAAGAAAGTACACCCACCTCTGGTGTAAGTTACTCAGGGGTTAGTCTTGGGAAGACCGAGGTAAAGGGATACAGGTTTAGATCAGTCAGAATCCAAAGTCTGCCACAGTTGTCCTAATGGATTCTGGGAGTGTTTAGCTGACTGCATAGACACTGGTATTTCTATTTCCCTGAAAAAATATGCCTGCATCTTATGTTAAAGTACTCAGAGGTTTGTCTTGGTAAAACTGAAGTAAAGGGGTAAAAAATGAAAACAGTGAAAATCCACAGTCTGCCACAGCCATACTAAAAGTACAAGGTATCTACTCATGCATGTTGCTACTTATATTGTTTTATCTAAATGGCATTGTAATGTTTTATCAATATACTGTATACATTTTAATGTTTTATCTTTTGTGTGCATTCTGTATGCTTTAAATGTTTTATCTATCTATATATTTGTGTTAAGCACCTTGAATTATGTACGAAAATATGCTATATAAATAAACTTGAACCCCCAAGTTGCCCCTGATGGTTGAGTTGCGCAACGGATGCCTCGGTTCTATACCGGAAACAAATTCCTTGTGTGTAACATAGTTGGCCAAATAAAGGTGCTTATGATTGTCCTTAAATAAAAGCAGTTTGTGGTTATCAATTACAATGTTTTACCGTTGGGTGGGGATAAAGTTCTTCGTGAAGTTACAGGTTGCCAGAAGGAAAGTAAGTCAGCGACTAGGTGAATAAAGAAAATTATCTTTTTTTCCCGGCCTTTTCTACTGTTGGGATGTCAACATCCCAATCCATTAGGTGGCGGTAATGCACCTATGAAATTGCTGCCAATCGACAATAAAATTTACAATAGAGGAGGAAGAAGAAGTAAGTCCGCCAAACTCGAAGAAGTCCTTTGCTGTGACGTATGCAGTTAGTTAGTAGTAAATGGCGGTCGTGAAAAGGGTGGACTGTAAACATTTCCACGGTTATAACTGTAACTTTCTAATTATCATCAAAACATGTACTCGACTCTGTCGGAAATGCAGGGTAGTTACAAGATGTCTATTTTCAACTTTCAGGTTGGATCACATACCGAGCTGATAGGAGTTTCACTTTCGAGGAGACGAAAACGGTATGAAGAGCAGCCTACAGACATAGCATATTAGATATTAGTAAGCATATTAGATATATACACCTGTATATATCTGTGAATATAAATCTGTGCTCACTTGTTTAACTATATCTTTGACCTTGGTAGATATGTCATATCATGTAACTATCAGTTAACGTTAACTTAGCAGACAGACGCGCTAGCTTTGTCTATCTATGGATAATAACGTAATCCTAAAACCGTTTGTGTGAATGCTTTACTGACTTTAATGTTAAACGTGCTAGTTGAACTAATGGAGAACGAAGATGGAGAAAAGGACTCTGAGTCCGAAGTGACCGAGCTGCGTCTGAAAATAGACTCGCTGAAGCAGGAGCTCAGAGAGTGCAGAGCCGAGCTGGCCAAGTTAGAGAAGCAGCTGAACCACTCTGAAAGGCTGCAGAGGAGCACAGAGAGCTATAACGAAGACCTGAGGAAACAGGTCAGTGCTGTGCTTAGTAACACGCATCAAAGCGAGCATACAGACCTTTTATACAGTACTTTTGGCCTAACAGTTAACCCCTACACAATAAATGATCATTTTCCCGTCTATAAATTTATCGTTTGGGATATAACACATCAGAAAACAGTGAATTAAAAAGGCTATCACAATATCCTATAACCCAAGGTGATGTCAAATGTGAAATGTTTTTTCCAGTCAAGAGCAGCAAATCTTCACATTGGAATTCATTCATTTTTCTACCGCTTAGTCCCTGAGCGGGGTCACGGGGAAAAGTTATAATTGGATACTTTTTCTTGGCATTTGTGATTTGGAAAAATGACCTATCAATATAGTTGCTGATTAGGTTTCTGTTGGTTGATTAATTTACTAAAAGTTGCAGCTCTGACTGAATAAATGAAAAGGGATGTGTTAAGCACATGATATAACATAAAACGTTGTTCACCCAGTTGCAAGGGGCAGTTTTGTTCTCTATTATTCCTGTAAATATACTGTGTAGTGTTAAATATTACAGGGTTCACCCTGGGAAATTGAACAAGTTGGCTAAAACCCTAAAATAAACCAGTCTGAATCATTAGTCCTAATATTTTGTTACAGTTGGTGTTTCAACAGTATCTGCCAGTTGATTTTATGTGAAATGTCCTGTTTCAGGTTGAGCAGCTGAGCGCAGAGATTCATGAAAGGAAGAAGAAAGATAAAGACAGAGTCGACAGCGAAACTCAGACGGAAGAATATGTATGGACAGAGACAGGTGTGTTAGTCTATGTATATTCATAAAAAATGATGATCATATGAGTTAGTCAGAAAGTGAGTACACTGTTGCAAATTATTCAATATTTCTCTCTAGATTACTACAACTACTACTATGGAGGCTACTATCAGAACCCAGAGGCAGCAGACACTCAGGAAGGCCTGAACGCAGCAGCAGCGGACACTGCTGATGGCAGCGAGGCAGCAGAGGTGTCAACACAGAATGAAGCGGCAGCTGCAGATGAGTCAGTCCAACCTGACAGCAGTGTTGAGGTCACAGCAGAGGTAGGTTTCATTTAAAAGTGATTTATTAGTTAGCTGTATTAAAATGATGCTAGTGACATAAGTATAACTACACGAATAACTGATTATCAGAACTGGAATTGGATCACTTAATTGGCTAATTGTATTCACGCTGATCCTAAATACTTAAATGAGGTGATGCTGATATGAATGTATATACTGAAATGATGTTTGAACTTGCATTGGCAGACTAATATATGATATTGTCTGTTTCAGGAGGGTGATGGAGGATCCATTGCTGATATGTTGAGGGCCACTGCTGAAGAGGCTATGACACAGACTGGGTTTATCTTTGATGAGACCACTGGAATGTACTATGACCACAGCACGGGCTTCTACTACGACTCGGTTTGTCAGTTGATTTTTTGTAAAATGTCACAGTCCATAGCAGAGTTAATTTTAACTGCAACTTGTTCTTTTCCCCACAGACATTTTTGATCCTATAGATGTGTTTTGTCTTCCTCAGGCCAGTCAGTTGTACTACGACGCCAACACAGGTATCTACTACTACTATGATGCAGAAAGTGGGCGATACCAGTTTCATTCCAGGATTGAGGTGCCTGCTGCACAGACTGATGCAGAGTCTTGCCAAAACAAGGTCACTGCTGAAAAGAAAGGCCGGAGGGTCAACAAAATGGTCAAGAAAATGTCACACCAGGATGATAAGGTAGGTAACAATTATAAACTTTATTGATGCATGGATTTATTTTATATTTGGTGGCCGATAGCAGGCTTTTGACCTTGTAAATCCCTGAAACATCTTTGTTGGTCTCAGACTTCAAATACAGGCTTTTTTTCCTTATTTGACTGATTTGAGGCCAGCTGACTAAAAGATTATTTCTCTGACCTAGATGCACGAGGTGACTAGCTCATTGGCTAAAATGAAGATTTGCTCTTATTGGAATACTTCCCACAGAGGTACATTTCTACCACCAGCATGTATAGCATTTAAAAAACATTTATGGTTATTTAATAGCTTCTGCCATCACAAAGGTCATTTTACTATTCTGTTATTAGAAGAAAACCCCTAACTCTTTTAGTAAAGACACTAGCTTCTGTCATTCATATAAGCTACACCTTGAATAGTATTTAAATGTGATGTGTGACCGTTTTCAGTGAGTTTCCTCCTGAGAGTGGCTGGGCGCACCCTTAGGGATAGGGTGCGGAGCTCAGTCACCCGCGAGGAGCTCGGAGTAGAGCCGCTGCTCCTCCACGTTGAGCAGAACCAGTTGAGGTGGCTTGGGCACCTGTTTAGGACGTCCCTTGGACGCCTCACTGGGGGAGTATTCTGGGCATGTCACTCCGGGAGAAGGCCTCAGGGCAGACCCAGAACATGTTGGAGAGACTATGTCTCCTGGCTGGCCTGGGAACACCTTGGGGTTCCTCCTAAGTAGCTAGAGGAGGTGTGTGGGGAGAGGGAAGTTTGGGAGGCTCTGCTCGGGCTACTGCGCCCGCGACCCCGTCTCGGATGAAGATGGATGGATGGTGTGATCGTTTTCAGTCTTTTGTATACTCCTGTGTAGCCAGAAATCAGAAACCTCATATTTCAAGGTTTCCCGCCATGGTTGGCACCCGTAGATGTCTTGTAAAACCTTTTGTATGCCAGTATCAAAGGTGCCATAGAGTTTCAGTTGGGACTGAAAGTCTCTTAAAGCTACTCTACCTAATTTATTTTCAGGTGCTAGGAAGTCTAATGAGACTCAAAACAAACACACACCATATGCCACTTCTAAGCACTCTTTACCTCTCATGCCCTGATTCCTAGTGACGATGTGAACTACAGATTCTTGGTTGCAACAAACTTTACAAAATGCAAAGCTAGATTTAGCTGACTAATGTGTAGATTTGGCAGTCTAGTACACTACACAAAGCTTACTCCCAAATTAAAATCATATTAGTTCAACACAGGCTGGGATTGGCTCCAGCCCCCCCGCGACCCCATTCGGGACTAAGCAGTATAGAACATGAGAGATGAGATAGTTCATCACACAGGTAAAATCACTATCTAGCTAGCTTGCTAATTTTACCAAAACAAACACTTGAGCTTTAGATGCTAACACATCCAGAAGGTAGAATGCCACAGGTGAATAAAATTTGAGTCGTTTCGCTGCTTTTAATGGTCTCCATCTCAAAAAACCAAACAGATGTTAAGCCTGGTTTTTGCTCTTTCTTTGACCCACTCTCTCTGTGCAAAAAAGAACACAACCTCTTTGTTCCGGCAGCCAGTGTTTTGGAGTTTAAGCTGCTGAGGGGTCCTTCATGGTTGACTGTTTGAAATAACTACTCATGGTGCAAAAAATGCTTCTTGTAACCTTTGCTGTGTGGTAGACGGGGTTACGCTGTGGACAGTACTTTGACAACACAGTTTGGAAAAGCCAGACTCAAGGATTTAGTCACCTGTGTTTATAAAAATCTGGGTAAAAAGTAATGCCTTTAATTTGGTGGTGGACCATGGTGTACTGTCTTTGAAGACTGAGACCAAAAAAAAAACATACAATCTCCAGTACTAAACCAGCTGTCAGTGAACACCACTGGAGGTGGTAATCTCTCTGTTGACTATCTGGTGGCAGGAAATCATATGTGATGAGGTAAAGTTGCAAGAAGAAGAAACTGATTGGGTCGAAAGACAAACAACTAAGAGGTCCACAGAATCACGAAAACTGAAGCGGAGGTCTCGCACTCCAGACATGGCTCAACGTCGAAAAGACTCTCACAAATGTCGGGAAGAGAGGGACAGACTTTCACCAAAGAGGAGGAAGCAGAAAAACGGTACACATCATAATGATGAGGGAAGATCAAAGAAGAAAAAGAAGAAATCTAAGTCAGAAAAGCGTAAAAGGAAAAAGAGCCCACCGTGCAGTGGTGGCTCAGATGGGAACAGTGAGCCGGAAGAGGGTGAGATCACAGAGTCGGAGAGAGAAGAGTGGGAGTCTGTTCCATCCCCCTTATCATCTTCTGGCTCACCCTCCAAGGAAAGCCCAGAATCAGAAATGGAGTCTCAGAGTCAGCAAGGTGAGTAGAACAACAAGCTGACTTCAGGGCTTGTTTGGGGCACACACCTTCACAGTTAGTTCTCTGTCAAATGAGTTTCATCGATTGATGATCATCTGTCATTTGTTCCCAGTGCTGTAGCTTTCTGAGGCTGACATACTCATATCACAATGCAGCGGGTTTCTGTTTTCTCACAGTCAAAGACATCTGGCCACCCTGTGTAAGAGTGACAGTGGTCAGGTCTCCAGTGCTGCAGGTGGGCACTCTGTTCATCATCACAGCTGACTCTGCAGCCACCATTGGCAGGTTTGTGCTTTTTCACTCTTGTCATGTGCAGGCATGAGTTCTGCCTCAGTAAAAGGTTTGAGTGTTTTATACCCAGGATTTAAAAGTGAGTATGTGCAGTTTTAGAAGGGAAGACCATGGTGAGAAATGTTGTTAACTCTGAATACGTCATATAATGGCTTGGAACTCCTTTTAGCCAACATACTGTTTTTGTGCTGCAGAGAGAAAGATATGGACCACGCAATCCGAATACCAGAAATGGGAGTCAGCAAGGTATCCCTGTTTGCTTTTACATCAAAATAATATTGTTGTGTAATACAGGCTTAAGGTGATGTTTCTAACTGAACTGTGTTTGGTTCCAGTTCCATGCAGAGGTGTATTTTGACCAGGAGCAACAGAGCTACATGTTGGTAGATCAGGGAAGCCAAAATGGCACGGTCATCAATGGCAACCGAATCTTACAGGTTAGTGTTTTGTACTTCTTTCTTATTTTTATATATTCTTTTTTAATAAACTGTAGATTGTGAACTTAGTAATGACTTCTTCAACAAATACTTATTTTGCCTGCAGCCCAAAACCAAGTGTGAGCCCCATGCACTTATGCACGGTGATGAGGTGAAGATGGGAGAGACTGTGCTCTCCTTCCATATCCACTCAGGCACTGATACCTGTGATGGATGTGAGCCCGGTCAGGTGATGGCTCACCTCAGCAAGCACAGGAGAGAGGAGAAGGCAGGTGAGCAACTTCAAAAGAAAACATTTCTACAGAAAAACAAGGATGTAGAAGTGTGAAGCAGCACTGATATACAGAGCCTTAGCTTGTTAGAAAGTGTTATAAAAAGCTTGATAAAATGAGGATGACTGTAGCTTTACTCTTACTGCATTTTCCCAAAGGCCCTACTCTCACAAAAGAGGATAAAGAAGCACTGAGACAGAAGGAGCTGAAGCAGATGAAGGCTAAATATGGCCTGCAAGTGAGTGTCATGAGGACAGGCAGCACTAATTTTAGTCTAAACCAACATATTCTCTTTATGCCGTCACCCATATCTATGCTTTTCTGTAAACAGAGCAGCGAGTATGAGGAGGCCAAAGCCCTGAGGAACCGCAGATACAAGGATCGAGCAGAGTCTCGACGGCAGACGGTGGGCAGTGAGGGGGTTTTCCAACGAGATGATGCTCCTGCTTCTGTTCATGAGTAAGTAAACTGTTTGACTGTCACTAAGGATATGAAATAATGGATGCAAGAGTTAGCAGGGCTTTCTTTTTCCTTTCAAAGGGAGATTAGTGAAGCCAATAAAGGGCGGAAGATGTTGGAGAAGATGGGCTGGAAAAAAGGAGAGGGGCTTGGTAAAGAGGGAACTGGAATGAAAGACCCGGTGAGACAATTTTCTAATGTCCTCTTTGTGGCTTGTACTGTCACTTAATTGTATTGTGAAGCAAAAAACCATTTGTCTTTCTCTACAGATTGAACTGAAAATCAGAAAGTCCCAGTCAGGCCTGGGGTCTGGTACCGCCATGTCTCTAGACAGTGTCTCTATGACCACATCGAAGTCCCAGAAGAACTGGGAGAAAGCGCGCGAGAGATTCACCGACTCGTGCCAGCCCGACATGCTGGCATCTCAAACGCAGATAGGCAAGTCACCCAAAGCCTGGGTCCGAGCGGAAGAGACCGAGACCACACAAACAGGTGTTGATACAGGCAGCCAAAGATAGGGAGGAGTGCGCATGTGGATATTTATTGTGGATATTCAGAGCCGAGTGGGGATGTTTGATGTATGTGTGTAAAGAAAGAAGAAATGTGACATATAATCTATAAATTACAGTGCGCATTGTAAAAGAGTGTTGTTTTTACTTTACTGTTGGCTGAAGACAGCAGCAACCAAATTAATCTGAAATGACACCGATATGTTTTGTTCTTTGAGGAGAAGAGAATGATATTATGTCATCATGATTTACCTTCTTTATTGTTATTTTTTGGGCTATTTAGCCTTTGTTTAACAGGTGATAGAAGCAGACAGGAAAGCTGGGGATGTGAGAGATACAGAATACAACATGTTGTTACCATCTGAGCTCCCACAGCGATTTTCTGTTGAGACCTAAAACTCTATCAACAAATAAATTGAACACTTGTGTGTATGTGTGCCATTGCCAGTGTATATTAATCCTGCAGACAGAATACACTTTCTCTTCTCTCACTGAGAAAATGTGACTATTCCAGTATTTCCTTCTTGACAAGTGGAAACAAGTTAACAAAACTGTAATTGTTAAATGTCACTTGCTGTTGTTGTGCAATATGTTTGTTCCACTCCTTAAGTAAACTAGAATGTTTACAGTCCAGAACACTGAAGAAGAACTGCAGCTTGTGCACAGACAACCATGTTTGTAGTCTTACCGACAGAATACAGCAGCAACTGTGCCTTGCAGGACATGAAAACATGAATCACCTCGAGCAAATATTGAGACAGTGAAGCTGTAATTGTCACAGTGAGATCATACTGTGATAAGACATTTGTGTATCTGTTCAGACAAACTAGCCACGATTTCTCTGTAACAGTGCCCCAAGCACCCTGCCTTTTTAAAAGATGTACATTAAATTTGGAACATGCTCGACCTCTTGGTTCTATTTGCTTCACTACACATCATATTGTATTGTCATTAGTGTTTGCACACAGCCTCACAACCTTATTCTCATGTAAGGCCAGGGAGCAAACATATTTTACAGTCCATCTGTGTACAGACTTATCTATGGCTTCATTTTGAGGGTGTGTGAATATTTGCATGTGTGTGCAAGTGTATATTTAGAACAGAAGCCGGTCTCACACCAAATGGAAAAAAGCTACAAGTAAAGAACTGTATTTCCCAGGATAGTCGGTTACATATGTTATTATAATTGTATGCAACCTCACAAATAGAGTGAAAAAGCCTCATTAATCACTAGTTCTGAAGAAAGCAACATAAGTTTGAAGTCAGTGAATTAAGGCTAAATGATAGAAGAGTTTCAGCACTAAACAGGTGAGCGATTTGACTCACATGACACTGCCGGTGTGACTCCTTGAGCTGGCTTGCCTGCTGCTCTTCTGGCTTTGCGTGCCACCCATTGTGAGCTTCCCTCTCTCCAGTCGATGGATAAACGCCACCACCAGTGCAGGTGTGTATTTCCCCTAGTTAGTAGGCATACTCTGCTGCACTCCTCTGAGACTGGCCAGTGCTCCTCTGCTTCTAGATCTCTTCCTCTCTCTTGACAGATGTCTCCCCTTGTGCCTCCCTTGTCAAGTCTCCTCCCTCAACCTACTGTCACTTAGTGGAAGTCAACATTCAGCAGCTGATACTGCAGTGTAATAAAACTGGGAGGGACCAGCTTGCGTCCCGTGCACCTGGTTGTATGGGGTAGAAAGTCTCTGCCATAAAAAGATGAGTCATGAGTTTGAATTCACTGACGTGTGAGAAAATGGCTCAGGGCTTCGGAGAGATCTGGCCTGACCTGTTCCTGACTTTGCAAGAGCGTTCAGAGAAACACTGGGCCACTGTTCTTTCAAGTGAAGGCTAATCGTAATGTAACTTTTTTCAGAAGTTATTCAAAACATGAAAAAAAAGGTAGAACGGTTAAACTGAACACTGGTATGTATATAGGTGGTGCAATCTCTGCAGCATAGGCAGTGCCAGTGAATATTAATCTTGCAGAGACACTTTCATGTCTCAGTGAGAAAATGTGACTATTCCTGGTGTGGCAAGTGGAAAGAAGTTATCTTTAAGCCTTAGTTTGGCGCTGAAACTGAATCTGGGTTATGTGACAAGTAATAAATATGGATACATTTTACGTATAAGCCCATATATCAGATCCTATATCTTATATATACACTGTTCGGCCACTTTAATAGACACACCTGTACATACAGTACATAGATAAAGTAATGGAGTCCAGTACAATACCACCTTTAGCTATGACCTCAATAATAAACATATATATAATTGAAATTGTGGCAATTTAATCAAAAACTGAAACATTTTGAGCTTCATAAACACATCTTAAGGCAGAAGTGTTGCATTGAATTGCATACAATTGTACAGGTGTACCTAATAAAGTGGCCAACCATTGTAAATATATGATACATTTTTGGGAAAATTTTAGTGTGAAGCAAAGAAGACACATGTCAAATATTGTCATTTTTACAAGCTGGTTTAACTGAAGAAAAATACAGATTCCTTGTTTTCCACCTTATCTGGCTTTGAGCTGAACACACATCAAAGGTCAAAAAGCAAGAATAAGTCATCCCTTCTTTCATATCACACATACACGGTCTTGCTGTTATGTGATGCATTTTTAAATAAAACAAAGAAGGAGGGAGTCTCTTATATCAGGAGATAAGAGAGATATGTCTTTAGAGGGAACAGAGTGTTTCAGGTATTTAGGTGACATTTAAGTCCTCATTCCCAGTCTTGTTGAGATGAGTCGAAAGTTAACAATTAAAGAAAAGTATTTTCTGGTCATAATTTGCACGTCCAACTCCCATCTATCAGGGAAGTGCAGCATAGGCAGTGCCTAAGCAAGGGCCACAACATCACCAATGACCTCACCCACGCCTACCACAGCCTCTTCACCATCCTTACCTACAGCAGGAGATAGAGACATTTTCCCAACTAATTGCACATTCCTGGCCTATTGCACCTTACGTTTTATATTATTACAGCACACCCCTTATAAATAGCCAAGTGATAACTTTTCATTCTATTTCTGCCTATGGACATCTGTTTAGGTTATTTTTAGTATAATAAATAAAATAAAAGTAGTTACATTAAAGTAATTACTCCATTCAATGAAAATGTCTCAGTGACTAACTCTGGGTTTCACTACTACTTTTAGCACTGAATGTCTTTGTGAGTTACTCTTAGACCAACCACTTAGGACTGACTAGACTTTGTTCTGGGATAGTGTTGTGGTATAATCTCTCACACCTGTGAGGGGTGGGGAGGGAAGGTTGTTCAGACATGCAGATTATCCTGATCTGTCATCGGATAGAGCCTGACATCAACTGGCAGACTGTGAACACTACCAGAGTCTGTGTGCTGTCTTTGCATCAGAGCAACCAAACAGTATACAGTGCCTTGCGAAAGTACTCGTTCATCATCCTTATTTGTAGTTTCCCCACACTGGGCAGGATGTTATTTATTTCATATGGCTTTCCATTATGGTCGATCGCTGGGCCCCACTGTCCTGCAAGCACTGCTAGCTGGAGTCTGTAATTTTGGGAAACATACCTCAGAAATGTAGTTCAGTGGGGAAAAACATCAAGATGGTTTCCCTGTTTTAAAGACTTGAATTGGAGCTGTGTGCACTGAGAGCCCGCCTGGTGTACTGCATTGCTCAGAGGCAGGCACAACAATGTATTTATCAGCTGTCTGGCAGAGTAAAGTCCTTGTGTAGTACTGTATGTGTGCACACATAAACAGGAATGAGGTCATCACAGCCACAAAATCGAGACAATAGCTGTGCAGACAGGTGGAGGTCCACTCCACTACACAGCAATGTTTTCTCCAGAGTAGTGCTGTAGGCTTCAGGAGATGAATAAGAGGGTATAGTGCGGTATGGATAATAGTTCAACTGACGCAACCAGGTTTTTGATCGTAAAGCCTCAGTATATTTTGAGCAGGCCTTTGATGCCTTAGTGCTTTTTTACATGCCACTCTAGATATACCACTGAGCAAATTCCATTGTGGCCACTTTTTACGGTGAGCATTAATATTGTTTGCGAGGTCTCATTCACATCATTCCTCTCTCGTTGATCCAGACAAAGGCAGAAAATTGCCCTGCCTCACCAGACACAACTCACTTGCATTCCATGTTAGCGAGACCATGATCATCCTTATTTGTAGTTTCCCCACACTGGGCAGGATGTTATTTATTTCATATGGCTTTCCATTATGGTCGATGGCTGGGCCCCACTGTCCTGCAAGCACTGCTAGCTGGAGTCTGTAATTTTGGGAAACATACCTCAGAAATGTAGTTCAGTGGGGAAAAACATCAAGATGGTTTCCCTGTTTTAAAGACTTGAATTGGAGCTGTGTGCACTGAGAGCCCGCCTGGCGTACTGCATTGCTCAGAGGCAGGCACAACAATGTATTTATCAGCTGTCTGGCAGAGTAAAGTCCTTGTGTAGTACTGTATGTGTGCACACATAAACAGGAATGAGGTCATCACAGCCACAAAATCGAGACAATAGCTGTGCAGACAGGTGGAGGTCCACTCCACTACACAGCAATGTTTTCTCCAGAGTAGTGCTGTAGGCTTCAGGAGATGAATAAGAGGGTATAGTGCGGTATGGATAATAGTTCAACTGACGCAACCAGGTTTTTGATCGTAAAGCCTCAGTATATTTTGAGCAGGCCTTTGATGCCTTAGTGCTTTTTTACATGCCACTCTAGATATACCACTGAGCAAATTCCATTGTGGCCACTTTTTACGGTGAGCATTAATATTGTTTGCGAGGTCTCATTCACATCATTCCTCTCTCGTTGATCCAGACAAAGGCAGAAAATTGCCCTGCCTCACCAGACACAACTCACTTGCATTCCATGTTAGCGAGACCATGTCTGTCTGTTTGCACTTGTCTGAAACTGTTATCGCAAACTCCATCTGTGTCTGTGGTTCTATTGAGAGGCACGAGACCAGAAGCGACACGAGTATGAGAAACATTCCCACCCCCGACTTCACGTCTGGCTCAGTCGGCCCCTCCAGCCACATCAGTATATAAATGTGTAACTAAATGTGAGCTGCTACAAATCGGAACAAAGCTCTCAGTACTATTTTAACACTTAACCGTGATTCAAAAGATATTCCAGCTCAGAAACATGCGAATGATCACGTGAGGAGAGGTCAGGAAATGGGGCTTTAAATGCTTCCAAAAGTTCATAGGTCATCCAAGTTGCTCTTTGTGGCTGAGAGGAAATGACCCTCATTCTCACCACATTCCAGTGTGAAGGTTTTTCTTCTAATGAATGGCTTCTTTCAAAATCGTCCTTTTCATGTTAACATAAAAGGACCCTATACCACTTGGACTATGAAATCTCCTTTATGTTAAAATAAAGCACATTATGTAATCCTATTAAAGCCATCATAAAGTTTCTGCTAAGGTATTTGAGGGGAAATTACCCTTCCCATGCACATCAGCCATGTGTCTCAGTATAAATATCGCATCCAGACCACTATACTTATGCTCCAAACTGAGTGGAAATTCCAACAAGCAATGGCTTCCTCTCAGCAAGTGACTCAGTCAAAACATCTTTCACTCTTGGCTTTTCTTGCTCTGGGTGTGTCTCCCTCTGACCTCATCTTCTCAGAAAATCCTCTAGAAACCTCAGCAGCACAGCCGTTCTCATAATACAACCTCTATGCAAGTTGTCCATAACAACAAACTGGTCAGTTTGTGGAGAACCATCCCAGATAATTTATTACAGTGCTGATGGTGGTGGCTGTCCCCCAGCTTGGTAATTCAACCTGTGTGTGTGTGTGTGTGTGTGTGTGTGGTCAGACCAGCATCCTGTTTATATAGTCTAGCTATCATTGCCTGCTATTAGAACTTTAACATTTGGCTCAGTCTGAAGCTTGAACAAACCCTCAGACTTTGTTCTTGCCATAGTTCTGTCCATTCAAATCTTTGTCATCATTTTTTCTTAAAGTGCCAAAACATAAGGTTTCATGTGGGCAAACGTTCAGTAGTCTAGCTGTTCCTGTAAGTCTACACAAGAACAGCTTGAATGAACAGAAGTATTTAACAGACCCACAACAAACCGCTGGGTTGACTAGTGCGGGGAATTATAAATGGATGAAAAGAGGCTTTGTGTTCAAGACAACAGCTCCCGCATGGCAGCAGGACTTTTACACCAGACACAGCACATTCAATGAGTCACAATTTACTAGGGCATTTGTGCTGTATTGTCTGGTCAGAGCAGATAATAACATTAATAATACTGCACCTGGCTGGCAGACAACTGTCACACTGTGAGTCTGAGAGTGTAAATCATACCTCGGATTCACTGAGAACCAACAGGCTGTGATGTCTGTGTCCGTCGCAGTGGGTTTACAAGTCCTTGCTCAGCGGCAGAGGTCCTTAAGTTGTCTGTCCTCAGATTGCTGTTGGAGTTGCCGCTCTCTGAGTGAGGATATTCTTGTTCTCTCGGCACAGTGGAGCTTAGTCCATGTGGCTGGATGGGAAATGGGAAATGAACTTTCTGGGAAAAGAGCCAAAAACAGAGTGGGATTTAAAGACACAGCAGTTGTAGTCACACTTTACACCATGTATGTTACAAGTAAAGACGTTTTCATCAGCTGTATCGATCAGCTGCAAACCATACTGCTGAGAATACGTGTGAAAAACTACATTAACTCTTTCCAGCTTTTCCGTTGCTACTTAATGCTATGCATAATTGTTTTACTTATAAGCTGTAATGAGCATTTAGCTTTGCAATAAACTATTTGGATGCTAATATTTTTATAATTTTACCTCAGCCAAATTTGAATGCAGGACTTACTTACTTGTAACAGTATTTCTACACCCTACTACTGTAACTTTTTAAAATTAAAAATCTGATATAATTTCTTCAAACATCTTAAGGAATCTAAAAAAGGACAACCCAGTGGGTGATCTGTGATTTTAGTAACTGACCACACTTCCACTGAAAATGAGATTTAAATGTGCATTATAAATCAAATGAAACATGTTCAGTTGTCAGCACCACTGTGCCTTTATATAGCCCGATTAAAGGGGAAAAAAGACAACACTGGATTTGGAATCATGGTTGTTTCACAATATAGTGATAGGATAATGATCATAATAAATCATGAAATCGTGATCCGGTATCTCCCTCTAGTGTTTTCTCCTGAGAGGGCAAGTGCAGCAGAAGTCCTGCTACACATCTCCATGCTGCTGTTGCTACCCAAACACTGTGCATCACATTGCATAGTGTGGAACTCTTAACTCATGTTATCCATCCATATCTTTTGGAACTTCTGACAGCATTATGACTTGATTATTACTTCTATTGTTCTGTTTGTTCTGAAATGGCTCACTGAAATGAAAATAGTTTTACTTTCTGCATCAGTGAAATACTTCAGCTCAGGTATTTGTTTCACATCTAAAGCAATAAATTACCCAATGCCAAGCTTTCAAACTGTGTCCCTGCACAGTTACCTCCACACCATGCTGCGTTTGCTTTCAGGAAGCACATGACTTCACTTCTTAGGCCCCAGGGGGGGGAATCAACTAGCTGATGACTTGGAACCAGAGACTCACACCACACTCTTCATCAGACAGCCCAGAAGCTAGCAGCATCACCTGGAGGCACTGCAGCTGTCACAGCCACCAGACTGGTCCACTAAAGAGCTGTGGCTCCCATCTCAACATGTGAGGAGATAACTGTCATTTTCTCTTCTACCACATTCTTGTACCTACGGATTAACCGGCTGGACTCCATCCTCTCCTAACGCTCTTTCATTCACACTGTAGCCTGGCAACAGGCCACCGGATAATATGTACAGCTACAGCTTTATTTTGCCATGTCTAGATACGTACATGATGAAAAGATAAAAATGGCCTAGTAAAATAAAAATGTAATGAATTTCTTTTCTCTACCAAATCTGATATAAGGGAAGCTATAGAGCCTACTGTATGACCAAACCACTACAGCAGGGTAGAATATACTCAGTCACTGCAGGGTAGTGACAAGATTTCACATAATAACCACTGAGCCAATTAATAGTGTGGCTTCTTATCACTTAAAGGCTCTGAAAATGTCCTCAATCAGCTTTTGACTGTGAGTGATTGGATCCAATGTAAACAATAGTTAAACATGATTTTCTTTCTTTTCCCCTTTTCTGTGCTCACTGGTTTGAAGTGGGCAAGTTAGGTATAGTAAGGGTTTGTCTGTGCACCACCAAGCAACATTTTAATCTGAATCTAATGACAGCTGTTAGGGTTTTGATCACTGTTGAACAAACCTGCTCAAACCACACTCATGCTGTCCAGACGAAGCAGAATAGCTTCACCTGGAAGCATTTTTCAATTTTTCAGCATTAAACTGTTAAATGACAATAAATAATTCCAAAAGATGTTTTTGAGTTGTTGAATGTTAATGAGAAATACTTGATTTGAAGTTTTATGACACTGTAAAGAGTAACTTAACACTGAAAGTCTCATTTTGCTGACCACCAGTGTTTTATTTTTTTTAGATTTTTTTGCTGACTGACAGCTGTCTGCCATGGCTGAAAACAACACCAGAGAGTGAACCAAGACAGAAAATGTAAGTGTCAGACAGCTAAACAATGAACTGAAGCTCACTCTAAAAACTTAGTGAAATTGAAGGGAGCTGCAGATTTGGGTGATAATTCTCTGCAGATTCATCACTACAAGTGACCCCATTCACACTGTCACATTGATTTCACAGTCATAAATACAATGTCATTACAAAAACATTGAATATAACGCTTTAAAGGTTGAGGCTCTCAGAAGCCTTAAGGTAGCCAACCACTAATGTACAATATTTCAGAAAACAAGATTCTTTATTTCATGTCTTATCTCCATATAATTTAACTGTTTGTATATGTTCTATTAAATATTCTCTAGCAACAACACATGCACAGGTGGTGCTCAAGCACCTTCCCCTTTACCCTCTGACTTGATAAGTGCCCTTTTTAACAGTTTTTAATTGTATATTTTAGATTTTAAACTTTGTTTTATACTGCATAAAATTTCATCTAAAAGCATGCTGTAACTATGCTCAGCAATGGTAACCATTAGTCTATGAATTATTATTAAAGGCATGTTAGGTTATAGCTTATAGGTCTGCATCAATGAAGATTTGTGCAACTATGTCTTTCCTGCACTGCTTATATGTCTGCTCATACTGAGTGTGGCAAAATTTTTAAGTTATAGCCCAAAAAACGATCTGTTCTTACTCCTCTGACACAATATCTGCTGGTAGTTGTTGGCAAGACCACTGTGATTTCAACACAATAATCTAGGGCAGGGGTGGCGAACCTGTTTGCCATAATGAGCCCAAAAAAAAGACTTTATCACTACAAAGAGCCACACAACAGATGCGCAAACAACAGTTCACAACTTATACACCTAATTACATAACACAATAGTTTTCATGGATTTAAATCAGCCTACCTCCTTTTATTTGACTCAGTGGGACACCTGACAGTCCTTGGTTTCCACAATCTCTTTTAGGTCTGGCTTGTATTCAGTTGTGGCTACTCGTAGTAACTCTTTCACATGTGTGTCAGTAAGAACAGAGCGATGCTTTGATTTCACTTGTTTCAGTGTCGAAAAAAGTGATTCACAGATGTAAGTTGACCCAAACATTGACAGTAGTTTGAGTGCAGCCCGTTTGACATTGGGATATCTCTCAACCGGCACAATCTTCCAAAACTCCACGGTTCCTTCCTTCAGAACGCTTTTAAGTCTGTCATCCTCAGAAAGTTCGATCATTTGAAGCTGAGATGCTGCTTCATCTTCTACTAAAGGGGCTTTTAAACAGTCTGATTCAGCAGTGAATGGGTTGATCAGAAATGTAATCTGTGGTCTTTTTTGACGTAGGTTGGAGAATCTCTCCTCAAAACTTTTCTCAAGAATTTCAAGCAGTGTTGCATATCGTGCAGTACTCCCTTTTACAACCTCTGCTGCTTGCCCACTTGCCTTCAACAAGGTTGGAAAATGTGTGAAGTCTCTCTTTTGGAGATGTGTCCTGAACAGCTTGAGTTTGTTGACAAATGTGAAAACACTCTGCACCAGGTCAGGCAGTATCTTTAACTTCCCTTGCAGATCCACATTCAGTCCATTCAGATAATGCAGAATGTCGACCAAAAAAGCCAAATCTGAAATCCACTGGGGATCATGTAGCTCAGGACAGTCCTTATGTTTCTCTGCAAGGAACAGCTTCACTGGATTCAAAAGCTCAAAGAAACGAGAAACCACATTACCTCTTGAAAGCCATCTCACACCGCAGTGCAAAAGCAGATCAGATGGAAGATCTTCATCAAGTTCATCGAGATTTTTGGTCTGTGATTGAGAGCATGTGTGCGTATAAAATTGACAATTTCCAGTACAGGTTTCATGATGTGGTCTAAGTTCAGCTTTTTAGACACCAAGTGCTCTTGATGAATAATACAGTGAAACGTAGTGATTTCAACACAATAATCTAGGGCCACATTCAAAAGTTTAACCATTCATCTAATCTTACTGTAGTTACATGCTAATATTTTGTCTTAAATCTTATACAGGTTTATAATGTATGTGCTAATGCAAAGATACTGCAGATAACTTTTTTTTAAAAACAACTTGGTGAGAGGGGTGCCCTCTTTTAGCCTGAGCACCTGCCCCCAAAATGTATGTGCGCAGCCCTGTTTAGCAACCAAAATAAAAGCAAAGGGCAAAAATCGGTTTATTTTGCAGGAGACAAAGTACTAATGCTAATCACAAACTGAAATATTTTCCAACTATTTTCGCACAGTTATCTGAAACCTGCTGTTGGGATTACCTTCAGTAATGGACACCAAACAAAAACACTCTGACCATTCAGATTATTACTGTGAGCTCCGTCAGATCCCGGGTTCACTGGTGACATGTGTATGAATGAAGGTGATGTGGATGTTACATCACGCCATACCAGCAGCATCCAACTAACGCGGCGCACAAACCCAGCTGGCCATATTGTGCACCAGCTCCCCGCAAATCGGCTGCGTCACACCTAACACACAAACACACACCCACACCGACGTCGGAACAATAAAGTCACCACATCAGGAGAAATACATCGATTCAAAACGCGACTCGGCTGAGCTGGTATGTGTTTGGATGCTGTACATCTTTTTTTTTTAAGCCGATGCATCGGTCCCATTATGTTAAAGCTTTGCGTGTCCTTTACTGCGCGTTTGTGGTTAACGTGCTTTCTCGTGGCCAACAATGCGCCTCATATCGTTTTGTCGTTTGGTTTGTTTTGCACTGCTGTTTGCATGTCTAAAAAAATCATAATTCAAAACACTTAAGCCCCGTATGTCTTTGAACATGATCAAACTGAGGAATAAAACAATCGGTATTGTCTTTTGTTAAGGAGTAATACGCGCTCATTTACCTCCCGCAGGTTGGTGTTTTTCCATACTGGGAAAATGGTTAAACTGGGGAATAATTTCAGTGAGAAAAATAACGGGAAGCTCGTTTCTGAAGACGGATTTGACACCATCCCTCTCATAACACCGTTAGATGCCAGTCAGCTGCAGTTTCCTCCACCAGATAAGGTAAAATCTTTTTTTAAATGTTTTTCAAATTTTAAGAGTCACGGGCCCTATGTCATTATTGCAGTATTTCTATCCTTCCAATCACGAAAATTAGGCTGCTGAAAATAAATGACAATAGCATTTATTGGGCGAGCAGTGTTCACCCTTACAGACTTGATGTATGATCTCTATGCAGAAAAATACAAATAATTTTACCCAGGCTGCTTCTGTGAAAATTCTCATGAAGCTACACTGCAAACAGATTGGCTCTTCTCACATTTGTATATGTGTGTGTGCTTCTACCAGGTGGTGGTAAAGACAAAGGCAGACTACGATGGTGACAGCAAGAAGAGAAAGCTACAATCTCCTAAAATTGCAGAGTTCTCAATAAGCGTCATTGAAGGTGTATCTGAGCGACTCAAAGTAAGAATGATGTCGCTGCTATAAGCTATTATTTCTGTGTAGCTTCTTCCGGTTCTTTCAAACCAGGAACTCTCAATGAGACGGAAGAGACTGCTTTAGATTTTATAAAAAATAACCGTGCTGGTTTATTCAGAGGATCACAGGTAAAATTCACAGGACACGTCCAGAGCTCTCTCACCCCTCTACCTGCGCGCAGGCAGCAGAAAGCTGAGCAAGTCTGGACCCAACAACCTATATAATATTAATCATTTTTGGGCTAGCCCATGCTACAAGGGGCGTCAAACCGTGACGCCACCCGATAAGCAAGCTTTGCAGCTGCTCTATCGTTTAGCCAAAACATGAGGAAAAGTCAAGGTGCGTGACTGTTGTTTTCGTGGTGTGTATCTAAAACAATTGGACATAACCTTACACAGTAAGACAAATATTAAGACTAGCATTACAGTTGACACTAACAGCAGTTTTCCTGTAACCTTGACGTGCCTGCCATCTGTTTTATATGTTGTCCAACTGCCATCATCTCTCACACTCCCCCACATGCATATGGTGGAGAATAGTAGCTGTCTTCCTGCAGCTCAAGATATTTGTCGCCACCATCACAATATTTCCTCCCCAATCTAAGTTATACTTTGTGGCTTCTTTGCTCAGGCCACCTTCATGCCAAAAGTGCTCCTGTGCCGCCTGCCATCTTGTCGGGCTACACAGGGAGACACATGCACAATGATTCACTTAACCTCACTGTGAAACTCATTAATTCAGCTGCTGCCGTGGTGATGGCCTCCAAATGGCCACCAAATGGCCACATCTCTCCCACATTCGACATCCCTTTGGCTTGCAGATGTGCCTAGCTATTGTGTCACCATATAGAATGATTAAAATATATAGGTTTGTAAGATAAAAAAAAACACAAACCTGGCTCCAGCACTGAGTTAGGTGTAAAAGACTTCCTTGCACTGTATTTAAAATTCATAAAACTGCACGTGGAGACTACCACCCTCGCTCCACATTCACAAATCGACAGATTAAACTCTCTCTCTGGTGTGTCAAGCTTCCTTTAGTAACAGAGCTTTATTCATCAAACATCTGAAAAGAAAAGAGGCACATAACTGTCTCAGAGAATAGAGGATACAGTATAGTGTCCTCACCTGCTTTGAAATGCTGCAGGCAGCCCTTTCATCACAGATAGTCTCTTTCAAGAGCTCCTGTTGCTTTGCTTTGTACATGGTGTACTGTCTGCCGTGCACCTGCAATTCACACAGACAGATAAAAAAATATATTTTCTTTCATACTGATACATACTGTTAACAGCCTTATCAAACCCATGCCAAACATACTGGAGGACAGTACAAAGAGTCTTTGGGTGCATGGTACCTCACTACCTATCTACAAAATCCTGAAGAATATTCTGACAGCGCAGCATTCAGTGAAAATCAGCATATACAACATGGTTTCTCAGTTTCTTTATTGCAACTATTTTCCCCTCAAATACAGAATCAAATCTCCGATGGTGCTTGAAATTGTTCAGTTACTCTATGCGCATTCAACACAACAGCATGTTCATTTGTGTCAGCTCATGAGAATAACACTCACACCCTCAATGCTTAACATCTTTGGCTATAATGAGGTGGATTCTCCCACATCTTGTCTCATCTCCCCCACCCCTTTCCTGAAACACCAGCAGCCCTTACATAACTGCCCTGAGAGGTGAGAGCTGGGCTGTACAGATGGTCATGTGGGCCATTTCCTGCCAGGTTACTATATGGAGAATATGCTGTAGCCCTGACCGGCATTTAGATATTTAACTTGGTGTACCACAGTGTACACCTCCATAGATTATTTTTTCAGTACTGCAGCTTTGCAATGCTGCTTAACCTGTAATATAAAGAAAAGAGAAAAATCTCGTTTTATTCTGCTCACTTACATATTTCCTTTTCACTAAGACAGATAGAGCAGACGCTGTTGTGTGTCTCTTTTAGGTGACCTTGCTGGTGATCTGTGCCCTGGCCTTCCTGGTGTGTGTGGTGTTCCTGGTCGTATATAAGGTCTACCAATATGAACAGGCTTGCCCTGACAGCTTTGTTTACATGGTAAATACTTATGGGCATCACTGTGTGTGATCCTGTCTAATGTTGACATCTCAATATCGTGATCATAACTTATACCATGATAAACCTGAGTTAACTATTGCACTTTGTAAAGCATTTAAGGATTGTTCTGAAATGTGACATACATTAGCTTTATTAGGAAACATGTCAATAAACCGTCAGACTTTCATTATAATGTCACAATGACGCTTAGCATTTGTAGGCATGTGTGATATTTGACAGCTTTATTTAGCATTTTAATATATTTGACATTCATTAGATTGTTTTATATCAATTTAAGTTTTCCTGTTTGTAGGCATGATCAATAATGGAACAATTTTCAATTGGAAGGCAGCATTTTTTTATTAAGTAAGAATATGTTTTGAGATAAGGAAAAACACAGCCTTCCATTTAGAAATGAAAAACTATTTTAGTAATAAAAGGCAATATTACTCAATCAATACACTCATGGCACATATTAGCTAGCTTTAATATTGAGGTATAATGGATTTTATTGAGTTTGATGACTTTGATTCTTTTCTACATGCATTACTGTTTTACTAGCTTAACATTTTTGCTAAATGCTGAACAGTAGTAGCTTATATTATCCCACAGCTGTTCGCTTGTAGCTACAGTGACCAATGTTCAGCAAAAATTACATAGTGTAGGTTCACTTTAAAGGAAAAGGCCAGTCATTTTCTATATTAATCCCCCTAAATCAAACAATGAACTGCCTCTACTCGTGGTTAATGTCTGTCAGTCCTGGATTAGTTTATTCATCAGTGTTTCATAATGAGGAAACATGCCACCCAGTGCAGTGCAGTGGTGTGCTTCGCTGATGCGTTAATTGTTTTTGAACAACAGTGGAGCTCTATGGCACAGATGAATAAAATAATCCAGGACTGACATTAACAGTGAGTAGAGCCAATTCATTGTTGGTTTTCATCTCTGTATGAGGAGAAAACTGACTGGCCTTATCCTTTAAAACATGTGTTAGTGGCTCATTTTCTAAAAACTTTAAGTATAATCCTTTTTCAAGGCACTTCAACGAATGAGATAAAGAGGTTCAAGGTTGTGTCGAGCCTTTTCTTCTTCTGTTTTTTATTTAAAGAGTGAACTGAACTGTGAAGCTCCATTTTGTCATTATCACCTGGCCTATTTTCTCATGTAACTGAACTGTGGATCAGTTTTTTAGAACATCATTATGCTATCCTGAATCATAATTTTGTCACCTTGTGTCTTTTCTTTTCCCTTATCCATTGTACAAATTGTCTAATTTTACCTTCTTATCTACCTCTGTGGAGCAGCAAGGTCGCTGCATGCCGGCTGGGATGTATGGCAACTACCCCCCTCAGGGCCCTGGGGGCCGCGGGCGTCTCTTTACCCTCATCAACCACTACAACATAGCCAAGCAGACCATCACCCGGTCAGTATCACCATGGATGACCATCATGTCTGAGGAGAAGGTCACCCAGCAGGAGACGGAGACTGCCCAGAAGCTGGCTTAACCAACCTGGGATCAGGTGGTGGCCTCACCTGCTGCAGAAAAAATAAATAATATGGTTGTGCCATTCAAGCAAACCTCAGAGTCCTGTCGCTTTCTGTGGGTGAAAAAATTAACTTCTCTTGCCTGAGGTGCTATGCTGCCTTGTTGTAGTTTGGTCTGCTGATGTGCACTGTAGCAGGAAATCTGTGGACATTTTGAATGTTTTCAGCAAAGCGAGGCTTACAGTCAGGTGAATTCATGGTTTGTTTGAATAGCACACATTTATTTACACTTCAAAACAGAGTGGCAAATGTGTAGAAGCCACAGAAAAACACAGACACACTTACTGTCTCTGTACATACACATACGTAACAGAACTTACTTTAGTACTCAGATTGTGAAATGACTGTGAAGCATCTTGTGTCTGCGTAGCTTGTTTTAACGCACATGTACGCACGACTCTAATAATAATAGTTTGCTTTGAGGCTCTTTCTCTTCAGATACATCAAGTACTGAGCGCATGTCAGATCTCTTGAGGTCCAGTAAGTGGTAACGTTCTCATGAGGTGACAAAGTTTGCAGCGTATTTGCCACTGAGCTCATCTGTTTCAAAATGTTTTACTCTCATGTTGTTAATAAATGAGGCTTGACCTGGAGCAAAATTTTAACACCTGTTTTAAACTCATCCCATACTGCTCTCTGCATACAGTGCTGTAAATGACTTTTCAGTATTTAATGCACCAAGTCTTTTTAACCAGCATTTATGATAGTCTCCATTCATTTGAACTCTCTGTGAACACCATGTGCTTTTCTTTACTGGCTACGCAAGACTTATTTAATGGTTACTTTTCATAGCATAACTTTTATGCTACAGTATTGAATGTTTTTGCATTGCTAGTGAAGACACTGTATTGTGCAATGCTTCGCACTGATTAATGTCACCACAGATGGCTGTTGGTAGCCATCAGATACTAGACTTAGGTTGATGTAGTGGAACAATCTGAAAGTAGTTGCTTGTCCTGTTGCTTTTTTCTGTATTTGTCATTTAACTTAAACTGTCACAAACCATGTATCTTTTTCAAACAATATAACGATTACCATTGAAATGCATTTGCTACATAAAAATGTTAAATGATAAAATTGAAATAAAGTGCCCACATTTCACACCAATGTCCAAGTGGAATCCATATGTTATATATGAGGATCAAGGTAAAAACTCAATGGCTGCCCTACATCTTACCACACACATTAGCAGAAATATCAGGAGCCTGTGTGAATCAGAGCTTGTGCTGACAACTTCTTTTCTTTAGCTGACACAAACCAAGACAGGCCATGGCTTTCTGGCTTCCTGCTGCACTTGATGTTATCTGAAAGCCTGACATAAATATGAGATGTATTAGCTGCTAATGAAATAAATAATAGCCCGAAGGAAAGAAAGATAGTTTTATTAAGAATATTGTTTTGTTTTACTAGAATGTGAGTGATGTGTCAGTAGCATTATGCTGTGACAGATATCAAACTGTTGTGTTGTTCATAACTGCCTGGAAAGCAATACATTCTCAGTTGTTTTACAGTGAAGTTTAATTTATATGTCACAGGAGGGAAATAGGTTTGTAATCTGTTTAAAAACATGAGACTGCACAGATAAAATGCAAGTTTACTCAGTGTCTTCTGGTGCACTATGTTCCTTCCAAACAGAAGCGATCAACAGAAATCAAATCTGTTTTTCAGTCAGTCAGACACGAATTGTAGCAGCCATTTTAACCATTATCAGCCTGCAGGTGGTAAAGAGAGACAGACATACATTCACAATTAGGGTGAGCACAGTGCTCTACACAAAGTTCACCTCCAGAGATATGCTTTTAAGCACCAAATCTGTTCTGAAAGCACTGGACAAATATATTTAGGATTAGGGAAGAACACCTGAAGGCAGAATCTTCATGAAGAACAGCCTGACAACCTCGTGCAGCATGGTAAACAGTACATTCAGTCTCAACGTTGTCATCATTTCTTTACAGGATAACCAATACGTGTTAGAGTGTGACGGCTCCCTGTTGTACAGAGTCCGAGCTGGTAGCCGTGTTAGCTGTCGTACCAGTCCAGGAAGAGGAGAGAGAACGAGCACATGACGAGGAAGAAGAGAATCCATACCCGGAAGCCTGCATTGTTTTTTATAGCCTTGTGATAGAAGTAAACAAAAGATGAATGAACATAAACCAAAGTATAAATATCAATCAAAACAGACAGGCCTGTTTCTTCCATCTGGTGAATCCTACCTCTCGTATATCTTCATTGCCTTCTTTAACATTCTCTGTAGCACCCACAACCAGCTCATGAATGTTGTCTATCTCCGTTTCCTGTGTCATGAAAGGTGAGATGGTAAATTATCTGGTTTGCAACACTGTACTAAAAACTCTGGATTATAAACTGAGAAAACAAAAGTAACTCAGCTCACTTGTTGTAGGACTTTCTCAGAAAAGATCTCCTGGAGACGCGAGATCTCCACCACCTTCCCCTCAATTTGCCTGGCAGGCACAAAATGGTGATATGAAATATCCCACGGAAACAGTGCGGCTAGCATATGTAAGACCTTCCAGATGGCATTGGTACTGATGGGACAGGTGCTGGTGTTTGGAAATTTTCACTTCACCACCTTAGGAACTTTGTTTCATCTGGAACAAACATCAGTGAATTTCTCTGGCTACATCAGTAATAAATGCCCATGTCCTTGGACCATGTTAATCCCGTTTGGATTGACATCTGGTATTTTGTATAACTATTGTCATGCTCAACTGGCATTGCAGTCATTAGAGGGAAATTTTTACTGTTCACAAAACTGATGTGTGAACAGAATGAAATTACTGATGTGCTTCAGAACAGGCTTTTTAAAAGGGGAAAGGAACATGTGTGCTAAAGGAGCCTCACCTCACTTCATCCACCAGGCTGCTCATCTCACTCACCAACCTCTGGTTTTCCTGCTCAAACTAGAAAAAAGCAGAGACGTCTTCATCAACAAATCTTATGTCAGGTGTCAATTCAGCATAACCAGAATGTTAGATATTAGCTGACCTGCAACACCAGCACTATAATTGAGAATATACTAAAGTATAGTGTGGGTGACAACTAGCTCAAATATCAAATAACAGTATTTAGTATTAGTCTGTTATCTGGACCTCAACAAATTTAATTCCCCCTGAACCTGCATTTAAATGTCATCTAAACATAATAATACATTCATGAGACACATAGGAATGATACAGATCTATACTGTATAGCACAAAAAAAGAATAATGATGTCTGAGGTGCCGCACCATCTGGATTTCCTCAGGAGAGAGCTCATCCTCCACCCGGCCCTCCTCCCACAGGGGCTCCACAGTGTTGCCCTGGACCTCTGACACACTCTTCTCTGCAGGAAAGAAACAAAGTCTTCTTCTATCTACTGTACAAAAACTCATTCAGCTGGTTTCTTCTGAATCACTCAATTAGTTGCTAATTCTCTCTTGAAGGGGAAAATATATCCCTGTGCATTTATTTAGATGGATTTGTTTAGAATATTACTGTGAAGGGATTCGGAGTCAGTGTGGAAATATTGAGGCAGTGAGTGAGAACAGATGTAATAAAAACTGTAGGCCTGCGGTGATTAATCATTATTAGGAGACGTTACTCCTCTCTCACCTTGGCAGTATGAATCTCAGCGGTGCTTGTTGAAAATGGTTTATCAAATGGAAACCACTGGAGAGCCAAAGGGGCTTCTCCAAGTTCAGAGATATTACTGTTGACAGAGAGGTTCAGTGGCAAGATGACAACTATGCTGCCAAAGGAAAAATGTCTTTTTATGTTAACTGTGTTTGTGCAAATACTTAAAAGTCCAGTTACCATGTTTCCCCATATGAGACACTTAGTCTCAACAACAGTGATCGCAATAGCAAATGTAACAAATAACAAATGTATTACAAAAGCCAATTAGAATGTGCTACATTCATTTTTGTAATAATATAACTGAGAAAATAGTTTTCATGGTTCACCTAATAACCAGTTAATGTGATAACAGTAAAAACAATTAGTTTTTTTGGCTTACTACCATAAGAAGCTTCAATAAATCACAGTGGGTGTGCTCCAAAACTCAACCAACACCGTGTTAGTTTGTAGTGGATACACGTGGTCTCTGTTCTATTGAAATCTGAACCATAAAATGACAAATGCTGCTTGAAGCTCCAGCAAATTACAGCAAGTCCAAAAGACAGGGCATTTGAATATTAATTAGAAATATGATGCTGAGCTTGATAATACATTCTTTCACCTAGATTCACCTAACTGAATGAAACTAAAACCCATTAACTCACATTTGATATAATAATAATCACCTTTATTTGGCCAAGTATGTTACACACAAGGAATTTGTTTCCGCTACAGAACCGAGGCAGCCATCTGCGGCGCCAACTCACACCGATGGCTCTAACCATCGGGGGCAACTTGGGGGTTCAGTGTCTTGCCCAAGGACACTTCGACATGTGGACTGTGGGCACCATGATTTGAACCTCCAACCCTCTGGTTGGGAGATGACTGCTCTACCCACTGAACCACAGTCGCCCCCTGTTATGATGGTGTCTTGGTATCTGGGGTCTTTGGAGCAGTACTCAGTCAGAGATATTTAATGTTGGCCATTCCCTTTGTAACTCACAAGGAGACACATCATGTTGCTTAATATGAAAGAATAATTTCTCAAATTACCATCCATTCTATCAGCTGATGAAGATCAGCATCATATCACTGCTTCATGTGCCAGTGCACTCCATTTAAGACGGTTTCTTGGCTCTTCACATTACATAACAAGCAGCATTCTGGCACTGCCAAATGGAACACAGCTAACGTTAAAATCTACCTTAAAATTCCAAATGCGACGCTACTGCTCCAAACAAAGTTGAAGTCAGGTTGAGAACAAATGCATATTTCACTTTGTGTAACCCATTATTATTGGGTAAAGATCTGCACGAGGATAGCCCTGAGGATAAGCCATATACAATATAGAGGACTGAAAACTTTTCTTTATTTTCAGATTTGTTTTATAGTGAAGTGTGCGAACTGTCAGGTCTATCCCTACATCATAAAGATGGCTTGGATCATTTAAACATGTAGAATAAACCTTTTTCATAGCAGACATTGTGAGTTGTCACAGTAGAAAAGGCACATGTGTAGCTAACAGCATTAATGATGGCTGAGTTCCATTAAGTGTCCAACTAAACAATGCCACTCAGCGACACAATGCCATGATCCTGGAAATGGCTCACATAAATGAAATGAAGCCATCCTGAGTATTATCAATTACACCTGTGCCTTTACTATGACATGTCAAAATGTCTTCTGTGAAAAAAGTCTGTTGTTATTAGATGTGAAGTACCCACAGTGGATCATCATGTGTAGCGGTGCTGCACTATGACACAACGCTTTTCAAATTAGAGGTCAGTCCTGCTGCCTTCATATGGTTGCGGACCTGTTAAGATTAAGTGGTACACACCTTTACAATGTAAAAGCTAGTGGGGGAATAAGATACCAGTAAGAATTAGCCTCATTACTTTAACACAGTACAGATTGCTTTACTAGAAGTTTTTTGCTATAATAACGCTAAAACCCTACTTTTAATCAAATGTATCTTCTGGATTAAGAGCATTTTACACAGTACATTTCTGTCACTAGTCCAGTATTTTCTTTACCTGCACAAAGCGCAAGACAAGTGTGCTTTACAGCAGCGGTCCCTGACCTTTTTTGTACCAGGGACCAGTTTCATGCATGAACATTTTTCCATGGACCAGGTAAAGGAGTGGGGGTTCCAATAACAAAAACCTTTGTCAGTTCATAGTATGTAATCTGAATACAACAACTACACTTTATATTAGACAATTACAATAATTCTACACTATAATATCAACTCACCATAATGCAGAGTCAGTGGGAGCCCTGGGCTTGTTACCCTGCAACTAGAAAAAAATTCCAAGGGCTTGTCTTTTAACGCAGGGTGTTTTGTCTCAATGTGGCGAAGCATTTTTGAGGGTTTCATGGCTTCATTAGCTTGTTGGTCACCGCAAATTATGCATAGTGGGTGTGGAGCTTGTGTATCACCTGTTGCTATGAACCTGTAACTTAGGTAGGAATCGTGGTATTTTCTTTTAAATGCAGCTTTCTTTTTGCTGGCAGTCTGTGACCCTTCTGCTGTCCCATGGTTTGCTTGTTCCTTCCTGAAAAAGCTCTCCAGTGAATTTTGTTTTTGGCCCATTTTTTTTCAAGGTTTAGCTTGTGTCGCTGATACGTGAAATGGTGTGCCAGAGTCAAGTGCGGTAGTGAGGCGAGGGCGGAAACAGTCGTTTTTCAAAATAAGATCCAGAAGACTAATGAAAGAAAAATAACCATAATTTTAACCACGAAATTTTTTCTTTGTGGCCCGGTATAAAATGATCCACAGACCAGTACCGGGGGTTGGGGACCCCTGCTTTACAGGGCACTAAATAACTACACACAAAGTTAACAAACCAGCAAAGAACAAGTTGCAGTTGGTAAAGTACGAACACAGTGTGTCAGGGGACTCACTGACTTACCAGAACCTTCGTCCTTGACGGTCTTCTCCTCTGAGGGCTCCACTTCCACTGATTTCTCCTCCTTGCTGTGGCGTTCTGGTGCCAGTCTGGACCTGCCACCACAAAGCCACATGACTCACTTGCTACAGTCCTGAAATGATAACAAATAATACACCTTGTGAATGCGGTAAGCACCGAAGTTGATCTTTGTAAATACTCACAGCCGCTTCTTGTCCACCATTCTCTTGACTCTGATTGCTCTCTGCTCAGAGTACAGCTTACACACTCCTTAAAAGCAGAAGAGATACACACAGATGCATACAGGTCACATTGAAACAAAATGCAACAATCCTGCTGAGCTCATATACACCACTTTCTCAAACAGTAAAGTTCTTTATTCGTAGAGGACATGGAACAAGACCAGGTACAAGGTACAAGCTGAATTGCAATGCGCTGCAAAAACTCACCTTTCAGATACATTTCAATAAGGTCCAGCACTGCGCCTCTGTGCATCTTGACCTGAGCTGATGTCACCTGCTTCTCTACTGCACTGACAATAACACATCAACTTATAAAGCGAAACTCACTGATTTTGGTACAGTGCCAAAAATGAACAACAAATTCACATTTTCTCTCAGCTAATTCTTGAAGTTTTCAAAGTCAACACAGTTCAGATTTTAAAAAATAAAATATGAGCTCTCTCTTTAATGCATGCAAAACAATGCCAGCATTACCTCAAAGTATATTTTATATTTTCAATAATATTTGTAAGCAAGTCAATAAAGCACATTGTACAAGCTCACACCTTCACTGCGTAACTGTCTGATGGCCTCAGAACAAGTCCTCATGAAGATCTGAGCATCCTGGTCGATCTGGTCTCGTTCATTGTCCGTCATACGGGTAAGATCTGATGAGATGAGACTGTAAAACACGCAAGAGCAATCGCAGTAAGTTTAAATCCTTTATGGGTGTGGATCAGAGGCTGAACATTTCACCGATACAGTATCATTAAAAAGACTCTTTAAAGCACATATTTATTACAAGTGGCTAAAATACCTCCCTAATGTTCATGTCTACTGTCAACCACCTTCTGTATTCCCTCTATCCAGTATCTTGTGGAACACTATCCCACCATCCACTGAGAAGGAAACCCCAAACCCTTAGACAAATCACTGCATTCATGCTGCAACAGATGAGTGAGCTCCCAGTTCACCTGTTGTATTACTATGAGAGGCAACTGGTGTATAGTTGAGGCTTTACTGTCTCCCCCTGGTGGACAGTGAAGACAGTCCTTGGCTACAAACACAAAGCTGGTGAATGCAGAAAGGCTGCAACACAGAGAAAGCTGTGACTGTGTCCTGGATATTGATTGGTTAAACTGGATTTTGAATTTGTGAGATTAGATAAATCAAGGTAATTCTAGCAAAGAGAGCCAGTCTTAACATACTGTGCCACCTTGAAATGACTTTATAATACAGTTAGAGCAAAAACAACATCCCCTAATGACAGAACGAAAATATAAATTAAACAAGTCCTACTTTACCACACTTACGAAGACATACAGGAGAATTTTAGTTCGTTTCTTCAAAGCTACAGTCATAGCATGGTATAATAAATTGTTCTGTACTGCGTTTTCTGGCAACGCTAATGAGGCTTTTACTTTAACATCTGGAATGCTTGGACTGAAATGGTGACCAGCTACACAAACTGTGCTGTAATCCGTAGTCCACAATTTTTCTGTCATGCACAGAATAATTATTGTTTTTAATGCTGTTACTGTTGTTCTTTGCCTATGTAAAGCACTCTGAATTGCCTCTGTGTGTGTGAAACGTGCTATATAAATAAAGCTGCCTCGTTTTGCCTTGCCTTGCACAGGCAAATGGCTGGCAGCTGATAAGAAAACTGGAAGTCAGGAACAGTTAATGATGAGGCTCAATGCAGATGAAACTACATGGGATGATTGCTTTCTGATAGATTTTCCCAGCACTAAATGCTGCTACACTCCACCCACTGAAATTTCGAATGTTTAGTTAATGAGCTCTGCCGTTGAAGGTTTATCAACAAATCTAACAAAACATCAGCTACTCCACACACCCGCAACTACAAAACACGGAGGGGCCTTGAAGGGAGGAAGGCCTGGATTAGTCCCAGGGTGTGATTTGTTCTCCACTTGGTTGCAGCTCAATTATTCCAGACAATTAGACTGGAGTCTGCCGCTACAGACCACCCTACTCGTGGCTGACCTTGTGCCTTGTGTGCAGCGTGCACATACACACACACCGATGTCCCGTCAAATAACCCTGACTCCTAACCTCTTCTGAATTTTGTCAGAATCAAAGCGCTTATCCATCCCCTGCAGCCTTGGTGGATTTTTTTTCCGCTGCTGTTGTTGATTGTGCTGGACTGGTGTGACTGTCTGGAGAGGCTTACCTTCCGGCACTCACATAATCTTTCCTGTGTTGCAGCAGAAAGTCTTTGAGTTTGGTGATGTTCGTGATCTGCCAAAATAAAGTGAGAACACGCATTACTTAAATGTCAGGCCTCAATTGCTCCTTCAAATATGCTAAGAAAGAGTTTGTAGACCTGTACCAGGAAACTATTTTCTCCCAACTACTTTTAGACAGAGCCAGCGTAAATGTATAATTTAACATTTATTGGATGTGACAGATGACCAATGTCTGTCTATCTCTGTGAATTCTCAATATTTACAAACATTCTCTGCTGCACACAAACAGCTGACAGAGCGATCTCTAATACGCTTTAAATTCATGATCTGTTACTATTTATCACTGAGAAAAAGTGTATGTGTGCACAGGGAAACCAGAGGAAACTGGGTTCGGGCCAATGTTTGCTCCAGTAATTCAGTCAAATATTAAAAAAGACCAAATTGCTTCCCTGTCCACAGAGCGGTGCTGGCAGGGTACAAGTGGGTGTGAACACGCACACAGTGGGCTCTGTGAGATCCAGAAGAAGACAGTATTCAGACAAGCCCAGGATTGAAAAATGACACAATGAGTTTGACTGTGACAGCGACCCCAGAACGTGGGAGATTATTTTGATAGCCTAACGATGCTGTTTTCGGCCTTCAGCCTTTTCACTCTAACAACCTCAATTATCAAATTGCCTCAGCTATAAGCAGCAACCTGGCACCGGCCATCTAATAATGTCTCCAAACATTCGTTCCCAGCGTCACAGTGAGCCGAAGCGGCGTTTCATTTGAGCTGATGTTTGAAAAATTTTTCAATGCAGAAAGAAGGTGTCAAGATAAACATAGGTGAGCAATTTGTTTGAAACCGAGCTCTCCTCTGGTTTAGAAAGCAGTTCAGTGCTGTATGATACAGCTATGGGGCACACGCTGACTCAGGCAAGCTGGCCCTTCTAATAATACAATTATTTGAGGTCAAGAGTTAATTGATGTTCAGAGCAGTTGAGCTTAGTGGGAGGTTCACGAGAGAAAAGAACCTTTCTTATGGTTCAAAGACTTTCAAAACACTGTTATGTAGTGTCCTGATGAATGAGTAAACTTTGAAGCGACCTCCTCTGAGACTTAAATTAGCAACACTTAATAGTAGATACACTGTATTTCCAAATCTAAAGCCTCCAACGAGCAAACCACTGCTGATAATGTCGTGGGTGATCTGTGGGAGGAAAACACTGGTTATCTTTTTATAACAATGTTTTTTTTTTTTAAAGATGTTTTGTTCCAGGCATCCAATGTTGCATGTAGCCACTGAAATATCTTAGCAGTAAAGACATACATGCTTTTCATTTAAAATAACTTCAACCTGGATAAATGTTCTCGTTAGCTCTCACGTCTTAATTTGTGCTCATCATACTGTTGCCTTCCGTGGCTATAATAAACAATCTTTTTAACACTGATGTGAGGTGTGTGCCATCTAGAGCAGAAACAATCAATTATTCAGTGACAGAACATTAATGTGCAACTATTTTAATCAGTTTAAACATTTTGTTTTGAAGTGACACAGATTGGGAATATTTTCTGGTTTTCTTAGTCTTCTAAGATAGTAAACAAAATATTTTTGTTTTGGGACTGTGTCACACAAAACAAGACACTTTATGGACTCACCACAATCATTTTTTGTTGACATGTACACTAAATGATTTACCTAGATATTTGAGATATATTAATATTGTAGAATAATTTGCAGAATGATGAATCATTGTTAACTATTGCTCTAATGTCATCTTATAAAATTCCTGCTAAAGACATTGCATGGTTAGCTTATTATCATGATGTGAACTTATTAAAACCTTAGAGTCTCAGTTCTCTAGCAGAGCCAGCTCTACTGGTAAAACTGTTATTTATAAAGCAGTGAAAGCGCAATGGAAGCATATTTTTGAGTTTGAGTACTTCATTTTTTAGGACTGTCCTTGGCCTGTCACAAACTGGAAAATGCAGCTCTTACATGGCATGACAAATTTATCTTTTACTATAAACTATGTCTTCTGCTCGCAATTAGCACTTGGCTTCGGCTTTTTATTTACAGAGAAAACACATTCCCCTGCAGAATTGGGTTTAATGGTACTACACCTTTTTGACCAGCAGGCAGGGCTAAATCCACAGCACTGGACCATGATGGATCAGAGAGCAAACACTGTGTGTTGTGGTGGTGCCAGGGAGTGTCATGAGTGCTGCTCTGGGGGTTGAGCTGTCTCGTGTTTGTATACATTGGAGCTCGGATTGCCAGCGCAACCTCAAGGGTTTGCAGGGGGTCGGTGGGATCAATTGCTCTTGTAACTTAAGACCCTAAAGAGCAAGTAATTCCTCAACAATGAGAAAAGGGGTGGCCTTGTGCGTGCAGCTCACCGTCTATGCGAGTGTGTACACGTGTTCACGTGCAGCCACCATAGGTGTGTGTGAGGCAGAGCTTGCAGCGAAGGCAGGAGGAGACAGTCTGCCGGGCTACATCTAATCTCATCATCATCAAAGACCCCCACTTGCCTCCTCACTTTCTCCTTCCCCTGCTTCCCTCCAGCTCTGGCTGAGCCCAAACAAACCATCAGGGGGGATTATTATGAGGAAGAAAAGAGAAAACCTTTAGCTAGCAGCTTTCTAAAGAGCTTGGACGACTCTTTGTTTTGTTAAATCCAGGTACCTGAGAATTTGATGACGACTGCCCTGCTTTGGTTTAAGTCCCTGTGTGTTCTGACCGACGGCTATCCATACTGACGCCATGTTATGCTGTGTTTAGGTATGTGGGCCTGATACAGAAAGGATGCTTCGGTGGAGAAGACGGTGCCACATGTTGATTTCATTATCATGTTTATGTCTGACTCTCTAATGGGCTCGGGTTTGTCTTCTTATGTCTATTGACAGATAGAAGGCTTTAGCCAGCTCTATAAACAAACTAAAAGTAGTTTCAAAGAGAACTTTTAAGACGATTTATGAAGGAGGTCTGACTTTTCTGATATGTGCTAAGGTTGTATTTATGTGTTTGGATTTTTTCTGCTTAATTCATTTGGATCCAAAGCCGTAGCAGGCAGCTCTTGTATACGCTCCTGGTGTTCGTTTTTGATCACGCAGGTCAGATTGAGCAGGGATACGAAACATCAACTTACAAAATCAAACAGACTAATCAGTTGAGACATATGTTGAAAAGGGTACAGAACCAAGACAACATAACCGCCATCCTGTTGTACAACTGTGTCCCACGTCTGTATCATCTCCCATTTACAACAAAGCATTTAACAAGCAAGCTCATGTCTGCCAGTGACAAACTGTGAGGGCTCTGCTGCTGTCGGAGAGACATCCCTGAGACGGCTCTCGTAGTCTGTTTAGGACAAATTTTTGTGGAAACCATGCTGGTACATTTTGAAACAATCGAATCACATTTTAACTTTCAATTCCATATGAAACAGATGTATCTGCTGGGACTGTCACACTTAATTCACAAAAACATTTCAGTAGACAAAAGATATTAATAAACACAAAAGCAATGTTGCCTGTGTGCAGGGCAACGGATAACGTAGATGAACAACATCTCTCAAATAGAACAGAATCAGCAGCTTATCCCCTGTACAACATTAATTCTTAACAGGCAGATCTGATGTACTGAACAGTATATATTTTAAAGAATGTGACTATATAACACCGCAATAACACTGTTGGTGATTACTGCTAAATAATTCCGAGCAATCACAACATCTTTCATGGTTTTAGAGTCTATTGAGCAGGTAAATCAACAGGTTGTCTCCCTTCCTCTTACTCAGTATTTACATCTAGATAGTAGTGAGTCAGAGGCGCCTGCATGTTGGCTGGATTACCACAACACAATAGCTGACTTAACCTGACAGCCTGACGCATGTCACGCCTCACTTCCTCTTTTAAAGTGTAAAATCCAAAATTACACACACCTAGGATTTAACCTGGGAACGTTGTGTTTCTCTAAGCTTTGTGTGATGTATCATCACACACCTTTTTTTTATTTGTGTTGAGTAATTTGACCTGCATGTGCCAGCAATTTCAGCACTGTTTTACCCCTTTTGAGCGCAGTCAAAATAAAATATAATGTGGTCACGACAGCAATAAAAAAATATCTGTAAAATTGCTGGATTTGAAACAATCTGTGGGATTTTCCTCACAAGTCTACCACTCAGTATCAAATGAAACCAGTTAATGCAAACAGCTGATGATATATTTAAGTTAAAAAACAGATTTATTAAAAAGGACCAGCAATAAAGAACTGGCAAAAAGAAAACCAGGATGGACCACAGGCTTATTAATCCTAAATAATGCAGAAAAATATTAAAAAATTAAGTCAAATAAAGTGCAGTTTTAAACATTTTAAAATATACAGCAGAAAGGAAAATGAAAATGTTACTTTGCTATATCATAGATTGTAAACAACTGAATTTATTAGGGCAATTTTGAAAAGGAAAACACCTTTCTCTCTTGACTCCACATTTCAGATTTAGTGTTCAAAAGAGAAGCTCAAGGCGAAAACAATTTACATGAAGACAAACACCAACATTCTATCAGCATCTTCAATAGCGTGACTGATCCTAACAAGGCCGTATAATCTGAGGAATGGAGGAAGCAGCTATAAGCAACGTACGCCTGGGAGTAACCGACCTTTCAGCTGAGTGGATGACGGAGTCTAACAATACTGCTGTACTGGAGCGCAGTAAAAGCAGAGAAATTACACTTGGACAATTTGCACATCTGAAGCTGCAATCAAACTCTTTTTCCATTGATCTTTACCTTAAACAGCGGCTTTCATCGGCTCCTGACAAATGATGACCACAAGCGAAAAGCCAAAACAATATAGTACGTTTACTAGTCATTTAAACAACATTACTCCGCAAATATCTTAACCTACAATTAAATCCATGGTAGTGCCTTTTTGAGTGTTTGTAATCAGATGAGCAACACACCTGTAGTTTCACAGTTCATATGCAGTCTGATGTTACATGTATTGGTAGCGTTTTAATGATTGTAAATGCAATAATTAAGATCTGTGTAATAACAACATTATTCAAAAGCAGTCAGAAGCTGTAGCTTTGGTCTTCCTATGTGTTTAAATGATTAAATTGAGCCTCTGTCTGTTGAGCTCAAAATTACTTTTGTTCTGCTTAAACAATGCAGTCAGCAGAGCATCTGCTGTCCATCTTATGATTTAAGAGCTTGAGATACAACTGTAAATCTGTGTTTAACCACTTTTTCCCCCTTCTATTTTAATTTTCATTAATCATGTTAAAACACTTTGTTGCACACAGTAAAACAAAATCAAGATTGTGCTCAGACCTGAGAGCAGATACCTCAGAACTGAACTGGCCTGGATTTAATGGGAAACCAGAGCAGAGATTAGGCCAACTGGTCGAGAGACCGTCACTTCCCCCCCGGCTGAAGTGCCGACTCAGTAGGCACGTCGTAGACAGCTGTGTGTGAGCATGTTTTCACCTGTGTGCTTTGGGAAACTTTGAGTGGCTGTGCAGTGAAAAGATTATTTTACTTTTGTCCATTTAGCCCTGTTATTGTAAATATACATAAAATTAGAGATCATACATTTCCATATTGTCTGCAATAAGGCTTCAATTAGACTAGTTTTTACATTTTTGGTTTATTTACTGACTATTTACTGGACCTGTGTACAATTATTTTGTGAATATTCAAGGCAACACATTTTAGCAACAGTACTTACAGGCTATGTTTGCCATCACAAATGTTCTAACTTTGCTACTTGACAGACAATTTTTTTTCAAGAACAGGTCTGGGAAAATATTTTTCAAAAAGGGCAAATTTTGAAACTTGAAACTACACTTCATTCCCTAAATGGCTGAGATTAATAACATCTTATAAATGTCATTGCTGTGGCGACACACAATCTGCACATGACCTGTTAAGTGGAAACAGGTTCCAGTTTCATCTGAATGACAGCACCAAAGGAGTCATAAAAATCATCCTACAAACCACTTCAGTGTTTGCTCTCCATCTTTGTAATTTTCCCATCGCTGATTTAAAATATCGCTGTACTTCAGTGGAAAATATTTGATTTTCATGTTCATACATGACCTTATTTGAGGCAACATAATTCAGTTTTTCCCAAAACATAACTTTCATGACATTCAAATGTTTAAAATTATATATATATGTGGGGTTTTTTAGACTTTAGAAACCTCATCACAAATAACAAAAATATCAACTAAACCAGATTTCTGAAATTCAAACAAAAAGTACTGAGACAATACGGGTATACTATTTCAGTGGTAAAGTTGTCACAGAGAAGAGCCCCCTCTCCGGCAGTGACGCGTACTTTTAAGCGCTGGCTGTCGGCCATGCTCTTCAGGGTTTCAAAGAAAACACTGAAAGATGGAGCCAATTTTGGAATACCAACACTAAAGGTACAGTGGGGGAACCAAGCATTATTTTCTACACACAATTTAACTATTTTAAAGTGACCCCCTCCATTTAAACTCGAGAAGGGGAAGCATGCTACGGAGAGAGACAAGCTGAACGGTGTAAATGGAGATCATGGTGCCCCAAACCGACCCCTATGAAGTAAAAGATTCCCCGATCAAACCCTACCCTGCAAACACTGGCCCTCTTATTAGTCAATCAAGCCTTTTTTTGCATTGCCTTGAAAGAAGCTGCATTTCCTTTCTCACTGAGCGGACTTCTGAGTGGAAAAAAGCCTCACAGGACCACTGCATATTTGTCAACTTTGATGTTTTATGTCTATTTTTGTGAAGCTTCACTGGGAACTTGGAGAGTTATGCACATCTTGAAGGGCACCCACATCTGTTGTGCATTAGATGCCGGCCGTCAACATTGTTACTGGGGACCTAATTTAATATTTTCAGTTTTGATCTTCCACCTTTAATCACTGGCTCTTGGGAGGATTGGCTTTCCTCAAGAAATTGCTCAAGAGCCAAAAGAAAATGTTATTGCAGCGTGTTTATGGAATCATACATGTGAAGAGGGGACATGCACTAAAAAGAAAAAACGCTGCCTATGCCAAGCTGTGCACAGAAAACAGTGGATAGTTGAGATGGGGGAGATGTGGGTGAAAACTGTCACACAACTGTCATGGGATTCCAAACTCACATTTTCAATTTCTACAAAAGCTGCTTCACTGAGATGGTTTGTGATGATATCTGCAGTGGCAAGGAGACAGCAGTAGGGGAGGGGGAGAGCCGAGGGCAGGCATCACAGGACAGGTTTGGGTTTCTTTTGGATCAACACCAGTGCTTTTATTAAACCACCATTTCTAATATCAATGTAACAAAAACCCGGTTGCACAGAGCTGCTGAGACCGGGCTCACGATTGTCTCAGACTGATGGCTACAGACATCAGGGACAACTTAAAGTCCTGACTCCCCTAGGGAAATGTAAAGTGGTTCTTTAAGGCACCTTTGAAGAAAGCCGTTTATGTTCATGATATTTATGTCAGGCCAAGGACTTCTGGCTGTGCAATATTCATGACATGGACCAAGTCCTTTTAGTTTCAACTGATCCATCTCCTACTGCCAACCACTGATGATGTCTCTGTACTTCAATGGAAGACGTTCTGTGAAGTTTCCTGAACTAATTAAACAACAATGTTGCCTTGCCATGTTTTTAATTTCAATGTTACATGACAAGAGGACCAAAATTACTTTTTTAACCAAAATATTGACTCTTATGTGAATGTTCCTAAAATTAGTCTAAATCAAGATAAGCACAGAAAGCTTAGTTAAATCGCCAAAAGAGGTAATGAAATCAAAATTTCCACGCTCTCATGGTCTGATTACAACCTAAAGTTGAACATTTCTCTTATTTAGTTCAGGACATTATAAGAAAACCTACATGTGTTTTTAGTATAATTCAAGTGAGGAGAATGCTTGTCATTATTTTCCAGTTTACTCCAACCTATAGTCTTGATCAGTCCAGTGGCAATCGGACTCGACAGCTGGCTCAAACATATTCTGCGCTCAAAACTGCTGAGCCTGACCAGTTGGCTCACCGCAACGTTTTTTTTTCAAACAACCTTTGTCTGCCCAGATCCCAAGCAGAACACTCATTCACTCCGAACTGCTCACACTGGGTAGGATTTAAAAATTCCTGTAGTCTGACTAAAGTTCAAGTCAACAACAGTGGTATTTTTATGACCTTTATTTCTCTGTGTAGATGTTTGGGAAATTATTTATTCTCCGAATCAGACAGTTCAGTTCAGATATTGTAATGTTCTAAGCAGTCGTGTGGTCGCAATCATTGATGTCCAAGATAAAATGATTGCTCGCCATGGAATGCTCACATTTTGCTGGAACATACGGATCAAGCAGGTGTGTCACAAACAGGCAAGCGGGGCAGATTAGACTTAATTCAAGAATGACTGCCCTTCACTGATTATTATTATCAGTTATTAACATCCATCCATTAAGCATTTAGAATGCAATTTAACTTACACTGTGTATCAACATTAATGCCTCTATGCTTTGTGAGCAGTGTTTAGAGAGAGAGACACATGAATCTCTGGTCTGTGCCAAAGATGCATAAACATGTGCCAAAATGGTAGACATGAGATTAATTGCTTAAATCAAATACCAAATGTTAAATGTATAGTATGAAGCCATGTCCCTTTCGTTAACTGCACTTTCCAGATTGACACTAGAGCAGTGGGCATCCTACAAGATGAGCTGGAGATACAGGAAGTGTGTTTTAAAATCAGACACAACATTCCATCCTAAAACTGGACTAAGTCAGGTAGTTGTGTAGGTAATGGTAATAAGTGGAAAGCTACTTTATTTTGAATATATATCTGCATGTTTGGGCAGAGATCTCTGTCCTATTGTCCTGGTGAGCATGTTTGGGCAGAGATATCTGCCCAAACATGCTCCCCAGGACAGGGGAGGATTCAAAGACAGGTAACGACTCTCGCCCATACTGGGCTCCTACAACTCAGTTGTTAAGGGACATTGTTGGCCTTCAAAGGACTGAAAAACCACCGAGGGGGATAAATATCTCCGGCTCAACACCAGTCAGTCAGAACTGATGAAGCCTTTTGGATGAGAGGTAAAACGTCTTCGACCTAGAAATCTAACTCCAGTTGATTTTTTCTAAGTTTTTTCAGATTAGTTTTGTTTATGTGCACTAGCAGCAGCTTACAAACAGAAACACAGGGTTTCTAACTATAAAGGCTGGGACACCCTTTACTAAGTTACACTGATTGAGTTTCAGTTTAACAACAACAAACATATTAAAAACAACGAATTTGCTGTGCATCTTTCTTTGGATTGCTGCTACGTTTACAACACTGCACAAGCAACAACACTTTCATTAAAACAGCCCGTAACGTCGTTTCGCTGTAATTAACTGTAAAGTCAGTTTGTGTTGATGCTAATCCAGTTAGCCAAAATTAGCACCGAGAAACACTCACCACTTCTTTCGCCTTCGGAGAGAAACCACTCTTTGGTCTGCTCCGCTTGAAAATGTCATCTTTTGTTGAGTCAAAGCCTATTCCTATCGCCTTGTTTCTGGTTTTTACTGTCTTTACACTGGCTTTGAAAAGTAAAGTTATGTCCACAGCCATGCCTGTGCAGCTGTAACACAGAGACCGCTGCTGTAAACAATCTGACACGTCACCAAGTGAGGACGTCATTGTCCTGCGACGCTGTGGACTTTTCCCTGAGACGGAGAAGAAAGCCTTACATTTTGCCTTAACGCCTTAATAGGATTTATTTATTATAGCGCGTTTTGTACCTTATACTATTTATATCTTACAGGAGTCTGACCTGGTACCAAATTACTCTTCGTTTTGGTTCTGTTACAGGTAGCAAAAATCTAACATTTTAAAAATTCTCTTAAATGTAAGAAGTTTAAAAAGACTTAAGTGGAAGACTTTACCTTTCAGTTAGGTCATCATGTCCAATAGCTGAGTTAAAATTAGTCATGCTGAATTCTCTCAGCTGTTTGTATATAGGATGCAACAGGGACCAATTCCATATTTAGATAATCAATCTGTTTATGTGTGTCTCTCTGTCTCAGAAAAAATGCCTTTACAAGCTCCTGAAGGGATGTCAGGCAGGAAGCGAAGACCTAACTGGACAGACCAGGAGAGTCTCCTTCTTGCCCAATTAATGCAGGAGAAGAAAGACATAATCAGAGGAAAGTGCAGCACTGGAGTATCAGTTCAAGATAAAAGACAAGCCTGGGAGGAGATAGTCCAAGCCATCAATACCGCCTTTCCACAGATTCAACGTACAGTTTCTGACTGTAACAAAAAGTGGGAAAATCTGCTGGCAAAAGCAAAGGAGGAGATCAAACGACAGAAAAGGCAAGCATGTAAAGGTATGGAAAATCTGCAGTTTGTTAGCAATTGAGTCTTATAGTTAGTATAATTAAGTCTGTAATCTAAGACCCTTTAAATAAGCCAGGACCTTGAGGGTGGATGTGTAGGCATGACTGCCGAAAAAATGCATTTTCAGTTAAAAAGAAATCCTTGTAGCCATTGTTTGTATCTTTAAATCACTGTTTTATATTTATTCTAAATGAATGCATGACTTGATTTTGTGTTCACAGGTGAAGGTCTGTCCCTTGAACATTTCAGCAATGTGACCCAGATAGTGATTTCTGTGATGAACCTCTCAGACATGCTGCAGCGGGACAGAAATGACTCTTCTGTTTCAGAGGTGGTGGAAAACAGGTAATACTTTTTTTTTTTAATTTGTATTATTTCTCTTGTGTGTCATAATAGCATTAAAACAAAGCCTAAATGAGTACAGTAATTTGTTGGACATACATATATATGAGGTTACACTTTTGTGTCAGTTAACTCCATATACAAAAAGTATCTTAATGTCCTGGATACATTTGGGTAATCTAGAAATCTCACTGTGAGCAATTTCATTGTAACTTTCTACTGAATAAGTAAAACCTATGAAAACTATCTCCATTGCTGGAGAAGTGAGAAAATATGTCTTTTGTTTGTAATTTTTATCAGCTGACCTCTGATGAGTTCAGATGGAAATGAAAACACTTGTCAACCTAATTTATAGACTTTGTTGTTGTTGTTTTTTCCAGCTGTGATAATGATGGAAATAATGAGACAGTAGATGAAATATTTACAAACGAACATCCTCTGACAGATTATGAGCTTTCTATGCCTCATAATCCACCCACATCCCCAGCAGAACAAAAAATGTCTGCTTTTCCTAATGTCGCTACATCAGTCCCAGTACAGTTACGCGTTCCTCGTGCTGCTGCGTTTATGGTCTCCGGAGAACACTTGGACACTCCCTGCTCGACCTCCTGCTCAGCGCAATCCACAACTTTGCAAGAGCGACTGGATCTGGAAATGTCTGTGCTGAGAAGACAACAGTCAGTCCTCAAGCTGCAGGAGGAATATTACACACTAAAAATCAAGCTGATGAAAAAGCAGATGGAAAAGCCACCTTAATAGGACTGAAGTAGTGAGAGGATGACCTGTTGCATTTGTGTGACTTATGCCTCTCTGTGAAATGTGACCAATGTGATTTGTCTGCTTTACAACTGAAATCACATTTAATGGGGTTGAAAACTCATTGTTTTCTGCTATTGAGAAGCACTGATCGGGTTTGTTATGTCACACAAATTTTGTTCACAGTGCCACTGCTGTCCTCTACATTTTAATAAATTTCAATCTTCATATGACCTGGTCAATTGGGGACATTTATTTTTTCTTAAAGAAAAAAAAACTCCTAAAAGCAACTAATAGTTAAAAGGATGACAAACATATACTGTATGGATCTACTGGGTTGTCAAATCTTTGTGCACTGTGCAACAAATCATCTTATTTAGGGTGTAAAATTGGTTTCTGCATTTTTCTGACCATGATATTTGTTATGTGTGAATTTCAAAGAATTCATCACATTGCCTCATTACTGCTTTAAAATCTTAGACTGAAAGACAAAAAAATAGCGCTTAGTGATTACTGATTAGATTTTGTCATTAGCTTATATCATAGTTATTGACATACAGTATGATTTAGACATCCATGTTATTCTTCACCTTCCATTACTGTATTATATGTTCAGTGACACAGATTGAATGCAGTCACAACCTTGGTGAATGAAAATTCAAACCAAATTAATTTTGCTGAACTGCTAATTCATAACTTTTAGGTGGAACTTTGGGCAGTGTAAATGTTTGCCATGCACCATTATACTGTACCTATGTAAGTAAAGCTAAAATAATGTCCTGTCTAGACAAATGTAGTAATTTGTGCATAATATTTCTCATAAATCTGTTTATTTATGAGTGGCTGGGGTTGGCACCCAGATGTAAGCAGCAAGGCCCAGAGTGTCGAATAAAAGTCTGTTATTTACTGTGTGGTTTGCTCATTTCCTTTGTTAGTGTTGTGCCAGACTGAGTTACAGCTGAGTGTGCCTGTCTCCCCTTTTCTGCCGCCTCAGCATTAACTCCTTGTCATTTAGTTTTTTCATGTACTCTTTCAGCTTTGACTGTGGAAAGATACAAAATGAGTCACGAGGACCTTTAAGATGCTTTCTGTGTTGATGTGAGCAGTCTAATAATGGGGCACTCCGTTTCCCAACTTTTATCTTACCATGGGATAAAGCACATTGAGTGAGTTCGCCGCAGCGTGTGCTATCCTATGACGGACTGATTCCTCAACCACTGAAGTTTTCTCCCTGTGTTTTATTATAGAGTCGTAGTGTGTTCCTTCATAAGCTGAAACGCCGTCTTTTCTCAGATCACTATCATTTACTAAAACAGCAGTTCCCAATCTTTTTAGTCTGATCTACCCCACATGCCTCTGAGATGAGCTCGAGTACTCCACACCACTCATGTTTTGCTTTTGGCTATTTCAGTTAGTTATTCTATATCCTTTATATCTTATGTCAAAACTGCTATATTTCAGTTAGCTATTTAAACTTTTATACATTACTTTAAAAAATCTAAATCAGCAATCAGAATCATATATATATGTATGTGTGTGTGTGTGTGTGTGTGTGTGTTTGCATTTAAATAGGACAAGCAAACAAAGGTAGCCCTGATTTGAATCATTGCTCTAATAGTTTGTTTCTGTTTCTTGTACTTCATTTATAATTATTCTTTTGTTGATTCAAGAATTATGCCTGTTATTTGTCCTTTGCACTCTAGTTTTGCTGGGTTGATGTATACTTGTGGAATCTAAAAATGCCCCACCTGTATTGTGAGTTGTGCGTTTTTACATTCCATGAGTATATTTTCATTTTTTGCTCATCTTGCTGTTATTTATTTATTTTTTAAATTCTAAATAAGACTATTATCTAAATGTTTAAAGTTAAACTGCTTCATGCAAAAACCAAACCTAGATACCAGTTCAATGGTCAATAAAGACTACAGATGACAACCTAAATACAGACCAAGCATTAAATTTAGGCATTCCTAGATGCTATCTAATCCTGGATGAAGCATCAGTGGCTGTATCCATTCCTCCCATTCCTGACAGCTGAACCGTGGTTTGGAGTACCCTCTGGGCAGTCCACTTAACTATCTGAAAAAGAACTCCTTAATCTCCACTTTCGCTTTGTTTGGACTATTATCAGAGCTGTCAGTTCTGGTTGCTTTATCTTCACAGAACTCTACTGGCTGTTTGACGCTGGCTTAATTTTATCAGAAGCTCTTATCTATGCTTTGCCTGAGGATGCATCCTTCTTCTGACTCAGTAGAACGGTCCTGGGTCTGATAGGAGGATCACTTATTGGGGTGCATAAGGGTTTTTTGTGTAAGGGCTTTTTTATACATGTCGCTGGCTATGTTTTCCTGTTAGCTGAATCCCTCAGTGTGCTGTTTGTATTGTTTATTAGCAGGGTGTAGTCTGAAACCTGAGCTAATGACACAGTGATATCCCATCAGCCACCACTGATCCACATTGGTGATAGTCGCCTTTGATGGCAGTTAACTCTGTCTTTTGGCAGTAGTCACTTGAAACAGTCTGAAGGAATGTCATGCAGCTTGATCTGATGGGGAACAATTACTTGGGAGGGAGCTGTGGCCTTTGAGGTGGAAGCTTACCTGCCACACCCTGCAGGCTTACAAATAAGCCTCTGGACGCGTCCCAAATGTGTGAGAATGGTCCCTTGTCTTCTTGTCCTTTCCCCTGTGACATATGGTCTGACAGGTTCTGACAAGTGTTGCCAAGGCATTGAATTAACTCATCTTGTGTGCTTTGGTTGGCATGATGTCAAGAAGACAAACAGGGGAAGGCTTTACAGAGCCCAGAACGAAAGATATTTGGAGGTGATTCAAGTCCTAATTATCTGAGATTTTTTCTTTTGGCTCACGATGTCATTATAATTAAATTACCAGTAACAATTAATATGTACTATTTTTATGTATTGTCAAACAAACAATGATTAAATACATGATATAATTATTTTAATATTTACACCTATGTGCCTGTGCGAAAAGTATAATGTTCTTGTGCACATACAGTATTTCAGGGTTCAGGTCTTTGTACATGGGCTTGCTTGTCTAAGAATATTTAAATGTTTTTAAGCAGCATAATAACCGAGACTTAGTTTTTTGCATATGAATCATAAGCATTGCATGCAAGGTCATGTACATGCAAGTTTCCTGGAAAACTAATCATGGAAAAGACATGCAGCTTAGCTGCTTGGACCAACAAAGAACTCCGAAAGGTTAAGTATAGATGTTGCAATCACAAATTGGATTTTCCATAATGCAGTTGCTGTTACAAATGCTTAACTTTATTTAGATTAGAAAGTGCATTGCCCATTACCAAGGAGCTTTGGGCACAATGTCTCTGCTCCAGGGATTAACCACAATTTATGCTTTTTATTTTGCTGGCATGGAGACATCAAAGAAAGGGGAACTTTCAGAAAAGGCCCAGTTACAAAGCAAATTACCCTTTACCCATTTATTTTATTTTGTCTTATCCATCACCACAAGCACAAACAAAATGGTTATTACAGAAGCTAAACTAGTTTTTGGACATTGAGTGACTGGACTAAGGTCATCGGTGTTATCATTTTGTTCTTTATTGTTTACTCTTGGCACAAAAAGGTCTCTTGGTTCCACATTAACAATTGTTTAAGGCTGTTTCACAGAGACTGTGGATATGTGAGTTTCAGGAATGATACAAGACAGTCCAGATTTAAGCATTCTGGATATGGTTGACTTGATCATTTTCCACAATGGTCTTTAGAAATGGACAGCAATTGCCCCACCAATGAAAGGGGATCCTCTTTGTAATTAAAGCCAGTAGAAAATTGGATCATTTTTTGCCTGGACAGCTTTCACATTCCAGCCTAATATGGCATTGAAAGTGTTTGATGTTGCTGTCTTGGCTGTCCCAAATTGTACCTTTCATCAGCCAATCATAAGAAAATGGCAACCTGACATTCCCAATCACAACATACATTTGAGCTGGAGTCCATGTAATCAAGGACCAGTGCATGATACTCACTGACAAATCTACTATGAATACTAGTATTACGATGTCTCCATCACAACTCATGGACTCTTTAATTTTTAAGATCAAAGTGATATTTTTACTTGGTCTACCAAAAGTCAAACTTACATACTGTATAATTATCTCTTTACTTATTTGTTCAAATGATCACCTTTTCAGTGAACCCTGAGTAATGCTGTTTATTGTAATCTAAATGGCAAGTTTCGTGTGCCATAAAATGTCTTGTCACTAACCTAATACATCACTCACAAACTGAAGTCTTTCGGTATTCAGGCATTCAGTTCAAAATAATGTAGCCTACAGGGAACCTTTGTCACAAACAATAAATACAAAAATGCATATTTTCCAGCATGACTCTCCTCTCTAGTGTTTCTTTGTACTGACTGAAGTGCAGTCCAGCCTTTGCTTTTTCCTTTAATACCACGCAGTATTAACCAGAAGCAAAATTTTAATTCTGTGCTTTCACAACCAAAATTTGTTTTTATTTTCCTTAGAGCTGAGCAAAACATACTTTGCCTGGATTAAAAGTGACATCCTGTAACTGTGGAAATATGTAAGTCTTGCCAAAGTTATAAACAGTCTTAGTGTAATATTAAGTCAACAAGTTGTCCTGGTCAGAATTGATCATTTTGCTCAGTCACGGCTGTGAGGGGCAGTTATACTACTTTCCCCTCTAAGCTCAGGTTTGATGGGGACTGAATATGGGGGCATCGTGTCACTGACTCACTTCTCAAGCTCAATTATGACTTGATAGAGCTGACACAGACAAGTACATTCACACCAACACAATGGTCTTTGAGTGGTAAAATGGAAACATTTACTGTTTGGAGCAGGTCACTGGTTGCCCCATTGCCTCATCCTCACTGTAATACTGAAAATGTAATGTTGAGTTTGAAATGACTTGGGAAATTATGAGTGTTAGCACAAGTCACAAGTTCTCTGAAAAAATACAGAAGTGAGAATGTTACGCTGTGGTTACATCCTGCAACTTTCACCTCAACCAGTGTAACAGTTCATAATTTTTGTATAATCTTTGTTGACCCACAGAGCACAAAAGATAAAATCTTCCAGGACGACAATTGGCCACTTGAGTCTAGTGAATCTTGTGCTGTTCTGTTGAGAGACTACTGGCTGTCCAGCATAACTCCCAAAACAACAAGCACCATTATGCATCCTCATGTCTACTGTACAAGCACATACCTCTGCCCCACAACAAAGCAAACCTCCGCAGAAATGAATCATGAACTAATTTGTGTCTTGGTTTCTCCAATTCTCAACCCCAGGCTCTGCCCTAGGCCAGAATGTCGTGAACGACTTCATGTGTTTATAAATAGGCGAAGAGGAAAAGGGGAAATGAGAGAATGGAGCCCAGCAGATGACTGAAACCATATGAAACTGGTGGAGAGCAACTCATCCTGTGACAACATAGCATGCAGATCACCCCCACTCCCCTCTTCAAGTCCCACTCTGTCTCATGTCACTGTCATTCACGAAAGAGTGCAATCGGAGAAGGTCGATCTGTGGCTGGGGCCAAGAACAAAGTGGCCGTGATTTTCAGAAAGTACATGTGGGCTCGGAGGAGGAAATGCTTTTACTGCCAAACACTCAATTACACATAATTACAATAATTCAACCTTGGAGGATGGTTTATTCAATTTTATTATGAGGTTAGCTCTTTCATGTCTCATAAGGTGGGGGGAGGAGGGTGAGCATCATGAACAGCGACAGGGACTATGTGAAACTGATACTGGGTCCATCATCTGAATGGTTTCATTTTTTTTTCCTTTTATGTCCTGCAGGAGTTTGTGCACAAGAATGTTTTTTTTTCATAAGCTCTGATGGGTCACTCTCCCC